TCTGGTGTTCGTTTAACCCAATCAGGTCTGAGTTAAGGTCAGTTCAAGGTCATATATATAAGTTCAACTGCCAACAAGTAAATATCTATACGTCTTGGGGATTGCTGAATCCGAATTCGGTGTCCGTTTCACCCGATAGGGTCTAGGTTAAGGTCAGTTCAAGGTCAAATGAAGAAAATCAAATGCCAACAAAGTAAACCTACATATTTGTTTTTGGGATCGCTGAATCCGAATCCGGTATCCGTTTGACCTGATCAGGTCAAAGTTAAAGTCATTTCAAGGTTAAATGTAGAGAATCAATTGCCAACAAAGTAAGTCTACGTATCTATACATTTTTGGGGTCGCTGAATCCGAATCCAGCATCCGTGTAATCCGATCAGGTCTGCTAAATACTCTCAAGTTCTAAACTCAAAACTCAGCAGTTAATTGCTTTTACATGACAAATTTCTAGTATCAATAAACCTAATTAAGTAAGCTTTAAACCAATGTGTCAGTTAATGTTTCACGTAAGATAGGAGATTTTTTGCATTGATGAATCACATGAAATCACTATATCTTGTCTTTCAGATCTCCCACTTTTTTTTTGTAGGGCTGTGTAATCATTATCAACATAAAAGAAGATATTTTATTGTGAATTTTGCCGAAATATGCTTTTAGTGTAATTTTTATATAAAATTCATTTTTCTGAATTTATTTTATACTAAGATTGGGTATTCAAATTAAAAAAAAATGTATTTCACAAAATTTAGTACTTACAAAATCTTACTAGTCATTGTACATTTCGGTTGCCAGTACCGTAGATAAAGGAAAGGATCAGCCAACTTCGTGAAGCATAACTTCTACGTCTATGACTTGTTTTGAAATATTCATGTATACTTGATTAAAGTGACGCTTTTATGAAATTTGCTACAGGAACTACATGTTTCAACGCTACATAAAACACTAAATGTGACATAATCTAATATTGTTATTACCACTAATAAATAAAAGGAAAACAACAGTAATCTTTGGAATTAGCGCTAGTGGACTGCAAACCTAACCTTATCCTTTCTCTGAAAGAAGACTCTGAAAGAAGAGATTTCACTTTTTCGTGAAATCTGAAAATTTCTAATTTTATTTGTAACTTATGCATAAATTTCAAAATTTTATATTACTTTTTTATTTATTTATGTTTGTTAACATATTTAACTTTTCTATTCGCTATATAGAGCCTGTGTAGGAATGTGCAGAATGTGATAATTAACTTTAGTAAGTTCCGAGTGAACAGCCTTGATGCATGCAGCGCAGTAGTGATGAGTAAGCAAAAGCGAAGTTGCAGCTCCCACAACTTGTCAATTATATGACAAACCTTTATGCCTTTATTAAAGCAACTAATAAGAATTCTTCAGCGCCGCTAACATCGCTAACTACTGTCGCTATTTCAGCCCCTCTGATGAATAAAGACCCTGAACGAAACAGGAAATGAGTATCATACATACTTCCTCCAATAGGATATACTATTAATAGTAGTAATCCGAGGAATTCCCAGCAGAGTTCCTCTGAAAGAGGTCGAAGAATACCTAGAAAGCCTTGGCTTTGCCTCCGGATGACCAGCTACTGGATGAAGCAAGGGATGCCGCTAGTCCTGGTACAGGTACACCAGGTCCAGGTAACTTTGTTACTTGTCCAAACTTGCTTAATCCGTGTAGAGCCAAGAGAACACCCCATATCGCCGCGCAATGCCACCGATGTCAGAGGCCAAGTACGCGAAGCGTGGAGAAAGCCATCACTCCACAGAGTGCAAGAAAGCGTGCGAATCTCCGGTGGACCATATCCAGCTACAGGGGGATGCCCCAGTGTCCCCAAACAGACCGGATAAAAAACTAATGCAACAAAACAGTCGGAAATACTAAGCAAAGGCTAAACCCTCCGAAGTTGACCGCAGAGAGAAACCGTGCTAACGCCGCGAGGTAAAGACCTGCTCTCGCTGTTGCGCCCACGGGAGGCAAAAGAAAGCAGTAGCCAACAAGGAGCACAGAGGTGTAGTCAGTATAATGGCACAGACACAAGATATGTATTCCACAATGTCGGCATCCTTTAGTAAAATAACATGTCAACGGATTCCGGAGTATGAAGAACCAACTTGCTGAACTCTTGCCCTATTTAAACGCAAGATTACCTATTTAGACGCAAGTCTCTAGGATGTTCGGACACCACGTGTTCTAAAATGACCTAGCCCTACTCATAAAACGAGGTATCGATCACCATCTGCTTCAGCTACGACGCAATACGAAGGAGTAACCAACCACTCTCCCATTCTCCTAACCTTAAGAGACGAACGACGCGGTGAGGAAACCATCACCAAAGAGCGGACAAACTGAGAGCGATTCTGCGCAGAAAAACGAGATACCACCTATGTTGCTGGAACTAACCAGGGAACGACGTGCAGCTAAACAAGCTGCGACCCACCACCTGAATAAAAAGACTCGGCACCAACTAAATCTAAGGGTGAAAGCACTGGACGAACATTATCAGTCTACGTGAGAAACCCTGCTACGTCTCAACGTCAAGGTTCCCGGATGTAACTATATTGGAAAGCTCCACAACAAAAGAGTGATAGCGCTGCTCAACATCGTTAACGCCATCCTGTTTGCTTATCGACCCATCAAGGTCGGCCTCCCACAAGGCGCTGTGCTGTCACCGCACTGTTCAATATTTTCACCTCTGACCTGCTTAGGATGGTATGCACGTCCATGTGCTTCTGCGCTAATAACACCGCCATCGCCTGCCATTCGCTGATCTCCAGGAGACTGGAGGACTGGTGCAACAGATGAAATGTGGCAATCAACTCCGAGAAAAGCACAGACGCTTTCTTTTCCGTAGGTAGTCCTCAATGCATGGAAGTCACACATTGAGCAAGACCAAGATTGTAAAAACAAAAATGCATCCGCTCAGCCGCGCCAGCGGTCGAAGTTGACGGAAGAGGAGACCATTTCTACAAGGCTACAGCGATGCCAGTAGGTAAAGTGTAATAATCCCGCTCTGCCTCACAACTGCTCCTGCCAAGGATATTGACGCTAAGTTTAATGCTGATCCCTGGTACGCCTCTTAGGGTCTTTCCCAGCTGGGCGCTGACCCTCATATAAAATGTTAGGAAGCTGTTATTTCACGTTATTGAAATATTAAATAAAAAAAATTGAACGCCCGTACCTCTAGAACGCTGCATTTCCCGTCCAAGGTCTATATAAATTAGCTCCTTATTTTTATCTGGAATATTCTTTTAAGTTTATACAGTTCCCTGTGAGATACCCTATGTACAACTTTAATTAGAATGCACTTAATAAGTCATTTAACTTCAAATTCAATTTAACTTTAAATGTATCCAAGTGTATTATTTATCAATAAATATAACATTGCATATTATCTACATAAAATATCTTTGAATTACAATTGAACTATCTTCTACAAAACTGTTTGCAATACATATCATTTACATTTAATAATTTTGGTTACCTATATCATAAGAATTTCCAAAGGTTTTATTATTTCAATTGATAAATGTGCTATTGAATAAATATAAAAATACACAAAAAAACACTTGTATCATGGTCTGCAATTTCTTAATCAATTATTAAACAATTTCCGGCCTGACCAATTTATTTGAAACTAGGAAATTTACCACAGTTTATGTATTACACCTGCCAATATAACCTGTACTATTTCTTGAACAATTTATTGGGTTCGGAATTGGTAGATGTAAAACGAGTTTCAGATTAAGTTTCTAAGCAAAAAAATCTAAGAAAAGTTTATACAACGATAGTACTTAGTTTTCCATTATGGATAACTTTTATAAATAATACATGTTGACAATTCTGCAGTAAAGACATTTCGTTAGTGCGAAGAAGATATTTCCAGTTTTTCAAAACATTTTTTGTTTCTACGAACTAAAATTACCAATTCAAAAGATGAAATTTCATCTCATATTCTTTTCCTTTGCGAGAACCCTTTGACATGTTGGAAAGTACACATATTAGATATTAATGGAAATAAGCTGCCGTCCTGGATATAAAGCACATATTCGTAACCTATATTATCCAAGTATTCATGAATACATACACAAAATGTGCAGTGATGTGTTGTCCGTTGGACTAAAAAGACATTTTTCTCTCTAGCTACTACCAGTAAAGGGCCACCAACTAATTTTCAATCAACAGTAAAGTCTAAAAATTTTCTATAATAAACAGTAAAAACGGCATTTCGAATAAGATTATCTAATATTTCTATAAACCATCTCTCTTTATTTATCTATTTTTTTTTAAATAAACATTCTTTTCACCTGAGATAAGATGTGATGAAAACAAGATATGATATGATGTGATGTGTTGTTATGTGATGTGCGATGTTGTGATGTGATGTGATGTGATGTGATGTGATGTGATGTGTGATACGAGATGTGTGATGTGTGATGTGAGATGTGTGATGTGATGTGAAAGATATGATGTGTTATCTAAATTAAATAAAAATATCATGTTTTATGTAGATAAGTTAACTAAATAGATAAAATAATCTATACAACATCCATAAGAAATTACAGGATTGAAAAATATAATCAGCGAACCAAACAAGATGAAACTCAAAGAAAAATTTAAGGATAAAGAGAATAAAATAAATGAAGAAAAGGGTATACATATTTCGAAAATCATAATAATTTAACTGTAATATAAGCCAGTAGTTTGTATATGATTCGAAATCTTTCATTTAGATGGGTTTAATTACCTTTTTAGAAAGAAACCAGTTGAACATTTATTTAGGTAGTAGCGATTATAAAAAATCTAAAACTAGTAATCATATTTATAAATAATGCTATTAATATTAAAATACATTTTCCTTTTTCAAAATATGTATTTTCATTATTTCAGCCAAGATGTTACAAAAAGCTATGAAATCATTGTGATATTTTTAACTCATTGATATGCATACTTACATTTTGAGATCTACTCTATCATTTATATTTCTTCCAGATTGTTGCGTCGAGAAGGGTACTTTACACAACGTCATTTACCCCGAATTAAGAGCGCACTGTAGGTCAAAGGGTTATGAACTTCATATCGTGGATCTACACTGGAAGACTTTATTAGAAAAACAGCAAGACCATGAATTTCCGGAATTATGTATAGGAGAATTAACTAGTAAGTAAAATTATTTCAACAGACATATGTACAGATTATTCTATTTTTCTTGGGAATTCAAAGTAATTCAGAGAGTATTAGAAATAGATAAGACATATTTGACATATTTCCGAGGTCAAGCCAGTCATTTAACAAAGATTATTTTAATATGTTCATAATTTTTTTGACGCAGAATGGGGTGATGATGGGAATTGTCATTGGCAATGATCTAGAAATAAATTTTATAGATATAGAAAGAACAAGATGGTAAAATTACAAAATAAACTAATTCCCTTTAATGAGAATAATAATTATTATTTTTAAATATATAAAAATATATAGGGTTATTTACACACAATATATTTTTTCAATTTTAATGAAAATAGAAGCGATAATACTTCCATGTTTAGTAAAGATACTGGAAGATCAACTAATTCTTGACGGCGATCTTGGACTTTCAGGTATAACAAGGGTTGTGTCATGTTTTGGGCAACGAAATATATAATATGTATGCTGCCATTTAAAGTAATAAAATATAATAAATATTTCTGCAACGTATTAACACGATATGTCTTAAGTTTTGTCTTGTTATAATGTAGCTCCCCGTTTTGGTTTATTTGTTATATTCTCTGAGATGCCCTGGATACCCAACAAAATGGGACAATTTTACCTACATACATGTGTTGTATGAAACATCATGTTAAATTTAACCTAGAACCTAGAATACCTAATGAAAGCAGTCAGTTTCTGGAGACGATGTACAACAGGTGAAATTATAAATATAATCTCCTTGTGTACCGCCAACTTTATAACTAAATTCAACATTTATAATTGAGTTTCCACTCAATTACTTACCACGATATTTTAATTATTATTAAACCCAATATATTTATTTACAGTTTATCCATTTTAACTTATACGGGGTAGCTTTGAATGGGGGTAATATTTATACGGAGCCTACCTTTGACCTTTAGAAGCAATTATTAATAGTTTACTTTTCAAATTCCGTCGACTGAACTTAATTTCTTTTAACCCTTTTTTATTAATTTTCATACCCCGCCGCTGGACTAGCTAGTGTGACCTGAACAACGGAGCAAGTTATTCACAGCGCATGCAGAATTGGCAACTGCGCTGAGCATTGGCGCCAACTCTCATAAATTAAATGAAAGATTATTAAATAACAAATTTTCACACCACCCCACCCGCTACGAAGTACTGTTGTTTGGCGTGTTACTTTTGTTGAGTGTGTGTTCGCCAGGGGCCTTATAAACAATTTAATTCCTTTAAATAAAAAACAGTACTTAACCAGAAATCTAACACAAAACGGCGGTAACCAATAACGATAAATGAAATGAACATAAATAAATAAATAATCTGTTACTCACCTAATTTTTACAGCATATGATATACTTGAAATTTTATGGCTAATCTTCGATTACAGATACCAGGATTCTCTTCCCCGGCGTTTAAAATTGCTGGTTCTCTCTCTCTCTCTCTGAATTTGTTAAAATTATGAAAATTTACAACTCCATTCCTTGTAAAACAATTGCATGTATGGAGTGATGAGAATCCTAAAGAAAATGACATTACCTGATAGCCACAACAATCAACATCTTGTTTTCATCGCCCACTGAACTCAAAGTTTTAAATCCATGACACTGTTACGCAAACCGAAACATATACACCTGCAAATAATGCCATTATTTTTCTCCAGAATGGTTTCCTGTAGGCGATTTTCTCAAGGGACAATATTTTTTTGAAATAAAACGACCTTTTCAATGTTGCTGCCCGTTTTAAAAAAAATACGACCACTGTAAGAGTTTTGACCACTAAAACGGAGAGGTAACCGGAGAAAACTATAATAATAATAATAATAATATCTCTACTCCTCATTCTAATTACGAGAATTAGCCCAGAAGTCGAAGACTTGTGCGGGAGAGGAGGCGGCATATTATTATTACGCAGGCCGCATTTGCGCCCAGGAACGACTTATGTTGGTAAGCCCTAACCACCATTCAGTGCAGGAATGAGGGAAACCTGGAAAACCTCATTAATTAGGGGGGTGGTCAAATGCCAACCGGTGTCAATCTCTCACTTTGACCCAAGCCAACATTCTTCCACCCTACCATACCTGCACAGAGGGCGCCAATCCTCCGTACAAGTATAGATAATCTACGGTCACCGGCCGCGGGATTCGAAACCCGGGCAGTTAGACACATCGATTTAAGTACTGACGCCTTAAACCGTGCGGCTATCGACCGATTTTACTATTACTATACTATTTTATCACCCAGTATATCGATTTGAATAAAGCTTTAAGAAATAATACGCCATAGTAGTCCAAATAAATGTGCCAAATTTTAACGCGATCGGTAAAAGGGTTAAGAAATTAATATGCAGTCAAACGTTGTTTGTGACATTTGCGGACACCCATTGGTTTGAAACTTATTTGTTCTTATTGAATGTATTGTGCTGTATTATTTATTAATTAATAATATTTAATTAACTTCCTGTATCTCAAATATGGTGGGATTTCCTAAACAAGTTTATATAGCAAAGTACCATTATTTTTTCTTCTCTATATTCCTAAATTTTCGGAAAAAAAACCACACACTTTGTTTTTTACGTTTTTTCATTTTGATCCCAAAATTTATGTCACATTTATATTGTTCTTTTTTTCTTCAACAGACGCGCACTAAATTTTACTTATATTTTTAGGGCAAATGGAAGTTGCTTATGTTATTCCAGTATTGTTTCTAAACAATTCTTTGGGAACGCAACTGCTTCCAATTACAATTGAGAGTACAGACTTCAAAATGGCAATGGAAAGTGCTGAAAATCAGTCAGCGCAAGGATTACTATCAAAATGGTAGGTAGAACACGAAATTTAATTCAGTATATTATATAAACTGCTACATAATATGAAGTAATACTTTAGTTTTTAGTGTATTGAAAATTTTGTTTTGTCTATAACGGAATTATATTATACGAAGGCAGAGAAAAATATAAAATTAAGTTTATTTTACTTTTACGTTCACATTACTTTAAGGGTATTACGCTAATTCAAATTAATTTGGGTAAAGAATGCAGGTCATTAAGCGCGGTTTTCGACCAAATTGAAAAAATAAAAAAATTGCTTGGGGCCAGACAAATAAAATTTAATCGATTTTAACCCAAACGGACGCACCCCCACCATCCTGCCTTATATACCCCCCAGTAACCGATCCACATTCACCTACCATGACAGGTAGTAAAGGCAGGAAATGTCAATATCTTTTTACACATCCCTAGGGCCAGACAAGCAATATTCCGTTGATTTTGGGACAAACGGATCCACCTCCCATCTTCCCATCCCCATAATTCTAATCACGTCCAACTATTGTGGCAGACAGGACTGCCAACAAACTCAAACTGAAACTCAGATAAATACAAACTAGAGCTCGGGCAGGCAAGCTCAAGCCGGATAACGAACTGGTCGAGTGTAATTAAACCATGACCAGGGAGACTAAATCTGAACCTCGGACAGGAAAACCCTAACTGAAGCTCAGATATGAAATCTCTTTCTCAAACAGAAGTTCAGACTGCCAAAACCAAGCTGAAGCACCGATAGCAAACTCAAACTAAAGTTCGATCAAGTAAACCCAAGCTTGGACACGGAAACTCGAATTGAAGCTGAGACATGGGTAGGGAAAGGTGGGTTCGATCCATTTAGCCCAAAATAAGTGAATAGTTGCTTGTTTGTCCCTAGAGATGCGCAAAAAGTCATTTTTCTGCCATAGTAGTTGATTGTGGGTCGGTTACTAGGGCAGCGGATGGTGGGGAGTGGATCCGTTTGGGCTAAAATCATTTGCATTTGTTTGTCTGGCCCCAAGCTATCAAAAGCATGCATTTTTTTATTTTTCCATTTGGACTGAAAACCATTCTCCTTTAGAGTTAATTTTATAAATAATGATCAGTCATTGTTAGGAACAATATGATATTATTTAATAATATCAATATATCAGCTAGATATGTGTCATTTTACAGGAAACTGTACATATTGTAATAGCAGAAGTTGGGCAACTTAGACAAGTATGGAATAACTATATAAAAAGCCAGCAAATATTTGTAGATCAATGAATTTTCACTAAAACTAATTTTGGTTTCCAAATACTACATATTGAAAGAAATGAAAATGTTTCCAATACCGTCAGAGAAATTTTGTAAATCTAACTTCCTGTTAACAATTAACGGTAAATTTTTTTATGTTGTTATTCCGTACTCCTTAGGTATCCGTCCATTAAAATATGTACAGTAAGTCATGAAACTATTTATCTTAGAACTTGAACAGAATATTTTTATTATTAGACGACTTTTCTATGACGTCGCCTAGGTACCCCGATATTTAATGTCAAAAATTTACTATAAATTTTTAGAAATACCTTCTTATTTGATATAGCTCAATACTTTCAAAGAACTGGAAACATGAGAGCTTTCAAACAATAAATTTGCATAGAATAATAAAAATTGTTGTATGACGATATTGTAATAAAAAATGCATTCCTATCCAATCACGTAGGTATTAAAAAAAATTACGTATTAGATATTAAAATTTTTCTGTAAAGCTTCCTTCAGTATCTAACAGACCTATCACAATATATTTCTTTTTACAGGGTGATTCAGTCATAATGTCATTAATTTTAAGAGCAGATAGAGAAAAATGAGTATAATACGATGGCGTGATTAAAACAAAAATTAAATGCATATTTAAGCTGAAAAAAAATATTTTCAAATCATTATTTAACCCCCTTTTCAGGCTGTTACTGACCGGTTGACGTCAGCCGGCTACGATATGAACAAAGCGACCTAGATGCAATGTTCCCATATTTATATTTTTTCGCTCATATAAACACAATAAATAAATGGTTTGCTCACGTCAGCCAATAATAATTTATAATGCTATAAATTATTTTTTATAATTATGCAATCAACATATTAAATTGTTATTGTTGCCCAGCAAGAACCTCGAGGAGGTCTGAGCATGACTTGCCAAAAATCATTTTTTATTTAACATCGTAGTAATAATTTTTTAATTTGCTGTAAGCTTTCTACTAAAAATTGAAAGTAATGCGGTCCATTCAGATGTTCAGGTAGAAAATGCGGCCCAATTAAACGATCGCCATATACTCCTGCCCATAGATTGAGACCGAATCTCCTCTGAAAGCTAAACCGACGAGTAGTGTGCGAGTTTTCATCTGACCAAATGAGACTATTATGGCCGCAAAGAAATTAGCTCTGTTTTACTTTAAATAAAATTTAATATTGAAGTTACAAAACCCCAAGAATTCAAATAATTTAAATTTCATTTCATAAACATTTCAATTTCATTACAGAAATAATGATATAAAAAATCAACACTCACTAGATAAATTATAAAGAAAGGGTGAAATGTATGTAGTATTTAAATATTGACTGTAAGCAATAGAAGATAAAAATACAATCGGACGGAGACAAATAAACAACTCCGTACGTGTTTCCGACCCAGGCTAACCTGTCAATAACCTTCTAATTTGCACATGCACTTTAGTCTAGGAACCAAACAAGCTTCCGTTACCAACCAGAGTGCCACGGCTGCAACAAAACTTGGTCGCAATGTCTGAAAGTGGCCAGATTAATTGTTATCAACAAATTAAATGTTTAAATGGCTGTAAAAAGTTTATTTTTATAGCTAGTACACGGAACCTGATCTGGCTCCTAGACTAATACGAACTGTAGTAGGATCGTATTCCATGCAAAGTAGAGCAAAAAGTTGTCAGTCTTTTATCAAAGGAAAATCGTGTCATCAATGAATAGGGATGATTGTTTCGAATGTACGGTTATTACAATTTATCAATTTTAATATTATTAACGTTTTCACGTTTTATAATTTATTATGTTAAATAATACACAGTTTACATTTGTTATGTAGTGTAAATGTAAATAAAAATTCAGTGAAACAAATGAATTGATAAGCAGAACTTGACAAAGACTGGCTATTTGGTGATGAAAACACCTGTTTAAAATGCCAGCATGAGTAAAACAGCATTCATCCGTCCATAGCACTTTGTTAATAAAGTTCTGCTGCACTTAGGAACCAATTGCAAAATTCAAGACGATTGGGGAAATCAGCTGCTTCTAAAGCTTGAACTTTTTGAAAATGTGTTATGTTAACTCCTTTGCGGGAAAAATGCGAGAGATATGGAGGGTGGTAGAGTTGAATAAACGCTTTAAATTGTTAGGTAATGGTTTTGTAACCGTGGATTAATTAAATGTGAACCACAGATTATGATGTGAATTTGTCAACGCTGTTCGCTTCAGCTGACGATTTGTTCGTGACATTACGTTACAAAATTTTCCGAGCATCCGGGCATCTGGCAGGGCCGCCTTCTTAGCGGGAGTTATGGGTTGATTTCCTTCATTTTTAAAAGTCTAGTAAAAAATTTGTTTTCCCGATTTTCTGTCTTTATTAAGTCTTCCGAATACGTGATTAAAATTAATGACAATATGACTGAATCACCCTGTATTATAAAGCATATCGATCGTGTCATGGTACAAATTAAATTGCTATAATTTTAGGTACATGTTAGACAGTGATGCTCAACCACCGTGCTATCGTCTGAGGCCAATATCATGCCACATACCAGGTTTCAAAGAGACATCGTTGGAGGATCGAGAAAAAGCTTTTGCTGAATGGGCCACAGAAATCGATAAAATGCTAGGTGTTCTCATTACGGTGTTTTCACAAGAACTACGGGACACATATCTGACGACAGTTGTAGAACAGGTACTACACCTACAAGTTTTCAAAAAAAAAATGCCAAAAAAACCTCGAGAACAAAATATAAATTATCTTCTAATTATCTTAAATTAAATAAAAAATCCTAAATTGGTCAAATACCTCCTCGGTAAATCTATCGAGTTTTCTTGCCAGAGGCATTGTAACAAAGGTACAAAATATACAAAGGTATAAAATAGAATTAACAATATGGTCCTAGGATAAATAAATAGACGATAAATATATATTTTTTAAATGGCAAAATATGTTACATAACCAGTTCTTGTACACACAAATCATGAACTTTTGGAGATGGGCATGGTAAATATTTTTACTATTCTTTTTTGTATATTTTTTTTATATACTCGTAATTCTTTCATTCCCAACTTCAAACCAATGCAATTCCAATCAGGAATATTTAATGTAAAACAAAAACAATAAATTTTTAGAAAAACGAAGAGCTAACTATATTTTCATTTGTTAACGATTTCTTAAATTTTGCATTCATTTATTTTTGAGCTATGCAGAATTTATTAGAATTTACTTCTTTGAATACGCTGATACGCCATAAGTGAAATTAAGAAGTAATTTTCTTCGGAAACATATTTTCTGATAGTAATGGAGGATCGCAGTTTCGGACATCAATTTAATAGAAGGTAACGTTAAAACAGAAGTTTAGAATCGTTTGACTAGAACTCTATCTTATCTTGTATCGTTTCGACCTCATTCTCGTTCCGTATTGGACTGAACTAGGTACAGTACTTGTGAAAGCACGGGGCCGGGGGCATCTCGTGGTATTTCCAGTTTCCATTTTTCTTCTCTTTGAAGTCTAGAAACTTTGAACCTATTATATTACATTTCTTTATGTGCAACTTTCAGCTTCCTTTGGGTAGCACTTATATCGATGAGTGGGGCTGAAATTTGTAATTATGATAAATACTTTGAAATTTCCATAACTTTATGGATTTTGATCAGTTATACGAATTTAAGCCTTAAAATGATATTATAGGATTAGGATAAGAAGGTCTAGACAGGCAACTTGGATTGGAGTCGGCTGCAAGTCTGTATTTAATGCATGGGTGACTATGTTTTCTTAATAACAATAAAACGTTGTTAATAATTCATTTAATAAACATCAAACATAACTAAACTGATAGCAAAAGGGCTTACAGCATGTCTGGCTAGGAATACCCAAACTGGAACACCATTAAGCAGAGCAATCATATCTTATAATCATTGCTCCTGTCAGCAAATTGCAATTACCAACAGTTAGTTGGTAAACTAGTGAGTTTCTCGAATAATTCGCTTAGTGGGCCTTATATTAGTTACAAATAACGTTAGTTCACGTGCCCGTCGCCATCGCTTAATTATTATCTCGTAAGAAAATTATAGATAACTTCATAGTACCCACATACACCTTCATAAAATTGTTACATCCGACATTTTTTTAAAGAGAGGAATTTTCTTTGTAGACTCATCCAGCGACCTAAATTTCATAATCAACTTACACATTTCATACTTTCCGCCTTTTGCTCCTAATATCGGTTATTTTGGTGCATTGAGATTAGATTTCGTTTTGCTGGTTAAAAGTACATATAAAAAAAGCGTAATAGTAATTAGGTAGCCTATTTTATATGGCGGTTTTTTAATAACAAGCAGTCTAAGTTTATCATAGGTCGGTGTTGTGTTGTTTACTTTTAATTAATACATTTTTGATGTTTGAGTGTCCATTATTTTAATAAGTTAGAAAATTCCAACTTCTTCGTGTTATCTTCTACTGCTACCTCTAGAAATGGTAATTTAATAACATCGATGGCATTATTATTACTTTTGGTATATTTAATCTTTAAATAAAACATTCAACATGTTGTATATGAAACATTATTATTTCTGTTGTTCACTATAGATCATATATTTTAATTAATACAAACATTACCTCTTCATAGGAAGTACATAACACCGTCTTCATGAGTCAAGAGTTAGCCAAAAGATGTATTTGGTTGAACAGGGTGTACACTCCAACTGCAAAAACACCAGAAAATATGACACCCGGAGAAGCAGAAGCACACAGAAGACTAAATACTTTGCAAAAGGATTTAAGAGTGAGTAGCGAAAAATATTTAAGAGTAATTTTGTTCTTATTAATAATTCTAGAATCAACTAACTGAGAAACACATTGTGAGGATACCAGTTAAATATGTGGAAGGCGGGCTGAATCTGGAAATTGCGGAACATGAGCAATATATTTGTCAGGTCACAATTCACCTAAAAAAACATCTAAGTGAAATGATTAGTACCATAATCGAAGAACATCAGAGTAAAACTATGCTGAAACCAAGTCATGGTATCGAAGCCAGTTTATTCGAGGAGCTCAATCAACAGACCAGTTTTTGTCAAAAAGCTGCACAATGTAGTATAAATAGAGAAAAAACAATAAACGATATAAAAACGTAAGTACCTACAACTTTTACCTCAACTATACCAAAGTAACACTGCAACAAATTTTCTACACTGATTCGTCAAAACAAACAAAAATAGTAGAATGATATTTTTTTCTTGAAGCAATTCCTAATGGCTGCACAATCTTTCAAAAGTTGAACCGCAGATAGCTTTTCACCTGTTACTTAGGAACCATATATAAATAATTATAAATGATACTGGTAGATATAGGTACCACTCGGTTAACGATTACAGTCTGTAGTAACATTTCAATATTATCTGTACATCATTCGTACGGCTTTATATTTTATATTATAATAGTACAATGTTGTTGCCTTCTAGTAGTACTTACATGCATGCTACATTTGAACATAAACGTGACATCAACGGTTTGAACTGTCAAATAAAGGTTATTGGAAATTTGATTTTTCCGCAGATCTATATAGACCATTTCCAATTAGAGATTTAGTTTTTTTGGTAGAATGCACGAGTGAAAGTTCAAAAATAACAAGAATGATAAGAGCTCATCAGCAGCATATCATATCAAAAGGCTATTATTTGGTTTTAATTCCCCAACAAATAAAATATGCGCGAAATTGTGCAAAACCTTAAATTACTTACTAATTACTTAAACTCCGCCACTAACAGTGTTTTCGATGGTTTTTACGCTTTTAACCGTTAAAATCCAATCCTTGGAAGAAGATTATCTACATCAAATACTTTTTTTGACAGTGTGGCAATTGAAAACATTATTAAGCCACTGATTTTCGTTCAAATCTTACAGGTAATTTTTTTTATTTTGTTTATTTAGATGACAAACATTAGTTTTGAAAATTTGCTTCAATATCACTGTTTCACCTTGTAACTATATATTGAGGGTAAATTGAAGGAAAACAAGTACTGAACCACATTTGTTATAGTCTATTTTAAAAAATCCAAACTCACAATAATTTAACACGGCGCCAATTTCTATTGAACAGTTTTCTTTTCAAAAGTGGGCAAAATATAATCTGGAAAATATAATTGTATGCCTAACAATGTCTCTTTATTTTTTAGATACATTACTGGAGGGGAAACATTTCCGCTAGTTATATATGGCCCGAGTGGTTGTGGCAAAACAACGTTATTAGCCAGAATAGCGCAATGTTGCCAACAATGGCTGCCCGAAGCTTTTTTAATAGTTAGATTTATCGGCATTAGTGCCCAATCAAGTACAATAGAGCAACTGTTAAGTTCAATTACAAATCAATGTTCAATATTAACATATGGTCATAAATGTTATTGTACTCATGTAAGTATCTATATTGTTTCACGTTACTTTTGCGGACATAGAATTGTGCCTAATTAAATTGTTACTCTAACTAAATTTTCTAAAATGATACATCGGTCTCATTACTAGGTTAAATAGACATAAGAGTATAACGTTATCACTTCATTTGTCGGTTGGAAGTGCGTCAGTCACTATGACATCAGAGCGGCGCGGCGGCGGTGTTTGCGGAGGCGGTGGTCTAGGGCATCAGTATCTGTTTACAGTACAGAAACAGCGCTACTAAAGACACGGTATGTCCAAGAGTCTAGAGAGAGTTACACTTCACACAGAAATAAAAGTCACACTTTATAAATATTGGCATTTATTAAACGTCATCCTATTAAATAAAGTCCTAAACCATTACTACTATAAAGCTAGCCGGTGACGAGCGACTATGGTGATGACTACTAACAACGGTGCAGTGTTAAGCGGCATAGCAGAGTTAACAGAACGGTAACAAACAAGCGAATATTACGGCAAATTAGGTACAGATACCAGAAGTAAGAAAGCGATCAAGAAGACGAAAGCAAAGCTACATTTATAAACTACAGGCTTGGTACTATCTTTACATACAAATAAAAACACAAAACGGTATAGCAAGATTCCTCAAGACGAATATGCGGTTGCAAGGTTTAAAACCTTTTACTCACATCCTCTGCTAGGCACGTCTGCTCTGGCGAAGCGGTGCATCGGAATTAATCTATGACAAAATCACCTGTGGTCAATTAGGGAAAGTAAGTTCTGCGCACACTTACATACTTCGGTGGCTAGACGGTTGATGGATAGGATTGCTTGCTCTTCTGGTCATTCAAAAACTGAAACTTCGCATCGGCTTGCTATAGCTATACCTTAGGTGCTGGTTGACGGGTGCAGGAGAATTCTAGACTGGACTTGGAAGAATTTTTCCAAACGGCGATCTCTCTCCTGCTGGATGCCACGAGTGAACATCAACTATGACTAATTTAGTTTAACTGCGCACTCGTCCCAGGTTAGACTTGCAAGAATTTTACTTAATCCGAATGAAGCCCCCCTCTGCTGCTGGGTTGATAACGGGTAGAACTGGTCTTGACGACTTTTGGATCCTAACTTGCTAGAATGGTTGTCGGGTTAATTTTGACGGTGATTAAAATATAATTGGCGGTACGGTATTATACATTTATTTAAATAAAATTAAACAAATATCAACTTGGGATGCCTCATACCCCTGTCTGAAAATCACATAGTTACAAGAGGTTTCTATTAGACTGGGCATAATTCTTTTTCTTTTAAAGTTATGTATGCTTATGTATATTTATATTGTTAATAATTTATCTATTTTATTTTTATTTTTTAGAGTTTAGAAACTTATGAAAGGATACTTCCAACCTTATTAACAGCTAGTTGTTTACAAAGACCTCTAATAATTTTGTTAGATGGTCTGGATCAAGTGAGAGCGTACAGTTCTAAAAATATAGATTGGCTTCCCATGAAGTTGCCAGATAATATAAAGTTAATAATCTCTGTATCAGAGGCTAGTGATATGCATGCAGATATTAGTAAGAAATTACAAGAAAATAGTTTTATTAAGATGCCCCTCTTAGGAGAAACAGAAGCCAAAGGTATTCTCATGTCCAGCGTCATGCAGTACAATCATAGCGTTAATTCTAAAATACAAGACTGTGTGTTAAAATCTGTCCAGGAATGCACCATTCCACTTTATTCTAAGGTAAGCCTACCAGTTTCCTGCTTAGCAAAAGTCTGCATTTGCTATATTATAGGATGGTGAACAAGAGTTCAGTTAAAAAAATTAGACAAATTAGTATCTAATATTTAAATATAAGTAGGGAAGATTTATTAATTACCTTTTTCTAAACTTATTTTTATTTTTATACTGTATCAATATTAATTTGTTTTGTTTGTGCAATTATCGATAGTGCAAAATATTGGCGCACAATACAAAAATTATGGTAAATTTTCTAGCTTCCAAAATTGCAATAGAACTAATTAATTGTAAGTCTAACTTAACAGTAAATTTTGGAAATTTTAAAGATTTGTAATATCCCTTCAGAGCCTGGTGCAACCTCAATAAAACGTTCTAAATTTTGACAATTGTTTTTATTTTAACTGTTTCAAATATATTATTACTTGTTGGTTATTGCAATTGCTTTCGCCTGGTATAAATTCTCATATATGATTATTGGTAGCTTGCAGTTGTTGTCTTTGACGTTTATGCTAAATGTTGGTAGTCTTACATTTGACCAAATTGGTCAATTTATTTCAGTATGTAAAAAGGTACTACAAATATAGGGCATTGTGATCATTGCTAGCGCAATTTATTGGCTCAGAAACTGTTAAATAAATAAAAAATTGTTTATAGGTTCTGGCGTGGCAAACATCATGGTGGGTTGATAAGGAACATGACATAGTGCCGAAAGGTCATGTAAACGATCAATTAAATTTAATGTTAGAAGAATTAGAAACTATTCTTGGTGTAACACAAGTTCAACATGCACTTGCAATATTAACCAACACTAAACATGGTATTACTGATTCCGAAATGATAGACTTGCTAGCTTTTGATGAAAATTTCCACAGCAGTTCAACGCATGGTAAGTAAATTACTGAAAGTAACAATGGGAAATCTAAAAGCTGAAGATACTACACATGAAATGGTGACCATTGGCGCAAACATGCCTTATCTGAAAGTTGATAGTTTTATAAAATTAATAGCTAAACAAACCATGTTATTGCAATACATAACAATAAAACAAATAAAATACGTAATAATGATTTAAAGTAATTGGTCGAAGAATCCACCGTTGACACTGATACACTTTACACAGCGTTTTCTGATAGATTTCCGAATTTGAAACCACCTAATAGGATTTCGTCTGACATCGTTGGCAGCGATTTGTATTCTTTGCCACAACTCTTCACGCAAACCAATAGATTATTTGTAAACTATATATTTCATTCAAGACCAAGTAGAAACATCGAGAAGATTGAAATCCGGACTTCTGGGTGGCCAACCGAAAATGCTTCCACGGCCAATCTAACGATTTGGACCTGCATCTAAATATGCACGCTCGGGCTGAGAAAATTGCGGTGGAGTTTCGTCGTGCATGAACCACATGCCTCTTAAATAAAGTGGAACTTCCTCAAACAATTCGACCAAAATTTAAATACGGTTTAAATTTAAACTGGGCAGAAGTCCAAAGGTTCAACAAAAAAATTGCCAATTACATCTCGCCAAACATTCAGTTTAAATTCGTGTTGGAAGTATCTTACTTTTACAGCATGCGGATGCTTTTTGTGGGAGACAAATGATTATTTCGCCAATTAAACACTCCACATCGAGTAAACCTCGCCTCATCCGTAAATAAGATTTTCTCCAAAAAAGTAGGATCGTTGGTTTGCTGTTCTTGTAGGAAATGGGCAAAATGTAGACGGGCAAGAAGATCTTGAGGCTACAAATGTACAGGACTAAAATGGATTATTTAGAATTCTCCAAATCGTAGGCTGACCAATGCGTGCTAAAGTATTACTTTCCAAAATACTTTTTGGAGCGCTGTTATTACCTACATTTCGGACGGAAAGATCCTGTTACGCCTAACCGATTGTACACATTTCTAAATAGTTTTTGATTTGGTTGTCTTTGGTTGGGATACAATTGGGAATATCTTCTAACTGAAGCAAGACCAATTTTCTTGCACATAGACATAGATCATATCTCTCATTTCATTATTCGAAAACTCATTGTGACGCGGTATGTTCAATATTTAATCACAAATAATTATTATTAGGTAATAAAAATACACAAAATAATTATTTATTTGACAGCTTGCTTTATTTACCGGTTTCTATGGCGGAGAAGATGATATTTTGTTTTATGAGACACAGCCTACTAGACGCAGTTTGATTTGTTTCGCCTTTAATTTTTCATATTATCAAAACATAGTGTTCGTTAAATCGATTTTGCTCTAAAACTCATCGAGATATCGAAATGAAACAAGAATACATAATTAATGAAAAAATGATTGCTCTTTCATGTTTTGAATCAAGTTTCATGTTAGACATACAGGGTAAAAAGTTATTAATTAAATGTCGGTGAAATTAGTCGTAAATACATACTCTATGAGCAACGCTGAAATTATAAAACGCATCTTATTCGTTGCTTAAAAATATAGTGTTTTTCAAGTTCCTAACCTACATATTTTCAGAATAATTTCAAAACAACGAATTAAAATTTTAACTTTCAACACCCTGTATTTCCGAAACAATCAACTTTTGGATAAGGTGTGTTTGCGCCAATGGTTACCATTTCAATGTAGTATCTTCAGATTTCGGATTTCCTATTGTTAATGAATCACCCTATATATATCCTATTTATATTAAACTTGTAGTTCACACACCATAGGCCACTGCATAGATAAAATAATTATTTAATAGTTTTGTTGAAAAATCCTATATTTTAAGATGAATTTATTATCAAATTTAGTATAACATCTGACTTTTAAGTACAGTTGACATTTAAATATGGCATACATAGTATTAAGTAAAAAATGACGATATGATCTAAATTTCTTTTAACATTCGTTTATGGTATTTCTGTCACAAAAAAAATATGCCCCAGTATCCAACAACTTATCCCGTAATTTTGACACCACATGTCAAGTACTGGATCTCACACATAAGAATAGGAGATATTTCACTTAATTTTAAGTATAAGCTATAATATAATATAAAATTATAATAAAAAGCATATGCCCTCTCAAAACCAGTATTTGACACACTATGATAAACCCATTTTTTCATATCAAGTAACTGACAACATTTTTACTAATTTAGTGTTGTTATAAGAAAAAAATAATTGAAGTTCATCTAATAGGTCACCTATTGATAGTCATATTGCGTTCAACATAATACTAGGAACTACTTTTTATTAAATCCTTGCTAAAGTTGTGTTGCTTATCCAAAATAAAATAAAAAGCTCGAAATCGACACATCAACTGTACCGAAAAAAAAACATATACCATTTTCCAGAATATGATCATGAACAGAGCTATCTGTTTTGCTTCTAAAACTTAGAACTAGAAGAAATCTTTAAACTGCGAGATAAAAGACAACATAGTTGTTGTTTCATTAAGGACGGGATTTTGTACAAAAAATATCGCCCAGCGTGAGTCACGAAACGAGACCCCGGTAAGTGCTGCTCTAGCGGCCAACGCTTCAAGGTGTGTTTTTTAACCGAACGACGACGAATAGAAGTCTAATAATATACGCTGCACGAATATTTGCCCGATTTTTCAGGAACGGCTCCAATTTGTGTACATACAATCTTATAAGGAAAGAGAGTAAAGATTTTATTAATCAGTAATAGATTACCAAGGACAATAATATTTTTTTTATTAAGTAGGCAATAATTTTTAGTTAATAAGCTTAAACAATCTTATAATTACTATTCCTTCATCAGACGATTTTTAAAATTACATGTAGTTTCTTCTTCAAAAGTGACCTTAAAACACGTATGACATGGAATAGTCAACAGTCTAATGTTTATATTTTCACATTAACAATCCGATAATGTAAATTAACTGCTATTTTCAAGGAAATTTTACATCGATTTTATGCTATTGCTTATTAAAATTAAATAAATTTATGTCATGTTTTGGACAATTACTAAACAAGAAAGGGGAAGGCATTTGGGGAGTACGCGCACGCTACATGTATCGGCTGACTCGAAGCGACAGCTCTAGAAGGTGCGCTTCTTTCGAATATAATGCGATTTCAAATATAGTTAGTATTATTAATTATATAGTGGATCTGGGTTCAATTGCCAGATACACTATTTTTTTTGCTACTTATTTTAATTTTTAAATGGAAAACCAAAAATAGTACTAATGAAGAACAGAAAATAAACTTTTTTAGAACGAAATACTTATTGCAAAAATGAAATATAGTGCTCTGAAAAATCGACTTGTAAAGCTTATTCTACAAATACTTGTTCATAAAAAAAGTAAAAATTTGTATAAACAATTGTTCCCAGAATTACAACTTTTTATTTCTTAATTTTGAAGACTTTTGAGGAATTGAATAATGAATAAAATAAGTCTAGTAGTCCGGGCGAATTAGGTTTTTTTTCAAAAATCGGGCCTATCTCGAATTTTATGGGTTTAAAATTAAGTAAAAAATACACTAGAATAAAAGCCTAAATATTGATTTTGTCCCTAAGGAAATTTGCTACAAGGGTAGGCTTTTGCGAAAGTTCGCAATTTTTTTTTTATTATGCAACTTAAAAATCTGAAATTTACACAGACGCGAGATAATGTACTTACCTTTAGATCCTTTCTTGCGGAATTTCGATATCTTGACTTGGGCAGAAGATACACGCGCTCGCGTTTTCGACAATATAATTTTGCAATACGCCGCCATTAATTTTTTTGGGGTCCTGATTGCAGGTATTTGTTGAGCACCCCAACAGTTATCTTTTCCTGTAGTTGCATCCAATTTTAGTCAAATTTGTTATTTTTATTTAATTCTGAAAATTTAGTACATTTTTCTATTCACCGCTAATTTTGTAATATAAAAAAATTTTTGCGAACTTTCGCAAAAGCCTACCCTTGTAGTAAATTTCCTCAGGAACAAAATCAATAAGTATACCTCATGTCGATTAGAGGCTTATTTTTGGAAATATAAGCAAAAAACTGAAAAAAGCAATTATTTTATTTTCTTTTTTGTACCTTGCCTTATTTGAAACAATATTGAAAATCTGCAAACACATCTTCATTGACACTTTTTGCCCTCTATCCGATTTCTTATACAACGTTTCGCCTTTCCGGGGCTATCATCAGGTTAATTTTTTTAAGTATAGTTGCAGTTTTGGTAGCAATTCATGATGTTTTTCACATACAACAAACAGCAAGTTTAAATTTTAACATTTCGTTCTGTATTTGACCTTCCGTCTTCAGGTGTCCAAGCTTCCAAAACTCTTTATTTTGGATCAGTTAAATGTTTAGAAGGCTTTTTTATAAGGGTTTAAGCCAAACTACATTAAAATACTAAGTTTCAAAAGTATGAGATAGTTATTTTTTCTTTGACACCATTTCTTAGTAGATATGCATATATTGTATTGTAGATATGTATATATTAACTTGGTTATCTCACAATTTTTTTAATTTAGCATTTAAACGTAAGTTTAACCCTTACAAAAAGGTCTTCTAAATATTCTACTGAGCCAAAACTCAAAACAAAGAGATACAAATCTATATTAGGACCTGAAGATGGAAAACCAAATAAAGAACGAAACGTTAAAATTTAAACTTGTTGTTTGGTGTGTGTTTGACCAGAAAAAATAAATTAATTATATTTTTAAAAATGTCAGTTTTTCCCAAATATGTATTTCAAAAATAAACTGAGATATTCTTGACCTCTTGGTACCATATTTTTAATGTGTAATTTTAAACCCTGTGTTTAATTTCATTTTCAAGAGTAGCGACACCTGTGAGATAGAATACAAACTAAACTATGCCTAGAAGATTTCATGTCCAGTAGGGATCACGAAAATTTTGGTTTACAGATAGAATAAAAATGGACGATCTTGTAAAATGTTGTCATTTTACTCGAGTACACAAATTATAGAATTATTAATAAATATTAATCTGAAAATTAGATACAAATGATTCTAGGTGTCCGTTCTAGTGAGTGAAGTAGTTTGGTTATTGTGCCTGACCTAGTTCCGTCGTAAATGCAATATATTGACAGACTAACAGTATGGTTAAAACTGAGGTATTTTGGCATTTATTTAAAATATTCTTCTGTTCTCATGAGCATTGAAAATTATCTCACTCACTAGCGGGAACCATTGCGAATATATTGATATATAATAATATCCAATTATGTTAGTTTCTTCGATGATTTGTGTCCTCATCTGAAGCTCTGTTACACGGTAAAAATATACATACTAAATCCTCTCCTTAAGCTGTTTTGTATGAATGTGTCATTTACTGGTGTATAATATCAGACTGCAACTACCCAACATTATCAAAATTGATAATAATATTAGTTCATTATCAAAAATGAAACAGTTACATTCATTTTTCAGTATCGTGGGCACCAGCGTGTTTGGCCTGGTCGAGGCTGAATAAACATTTAGCTCCTTTCCTCCAATGGTCCTTGACAGGGGGAGTGTTAGGTGTTCAGTGGAAGGACAATATGCTACGACGAGCTGTTACCGAAAGATACAGTGCTCATAAGACATGGGCAAACCAAATGCTGTTTGAGTACTACAACGTAAGTACCATAATAAGTAGTTATAATATAATAATGTATAAATATACTGGGTGTCCATGACATAATTTCTTGGAACACTTTAAACCAATAATTCTGAATGAACTTGGGTTCTAAAGCCAATGATTCGCATACAGAATGTCCCGTTACTCCGTGTACCATAACAGATTTTTGGGTCAAAAATAAGACAATTTTTACTAAACTTATATTCTACTTCTGTTTTTTTCACGAAAATGACACATAATTTAGTCAAAACTTTTCTCATTCTGCGTATTATGAACAATAGTTTATTATCGAATTCATCTAATTTAAAGCTCCTCAAATAAGAATAATAGACAGACTCAAATGTGACAAGTTTGCAGAATGGAAAACATTTGAGATGAATTCAATTAACTTATTTGACTGAATTATTTTCTGTACCCGATAAAGCATTATTTCATTTTTATTATTAAATAAATCAATTTTTGACAATCAAATTAGATTTGTATCAAAAATGCATCAACTAATAATAATTAACCAAGCAAAAACTATTTAAACACATGATATAAAAAAATCCTTACGTATATGACAAAATGAATGAAATCACATATATCACATTTTTACAATGAAAATATACTCACATCAGATTTTTGTATTTTTTTAAACTTACACTGAGCAGATTTATTGCATAATAATGATTTGCACTTTTTGTTTTACAGTAAAGGCTTTCAAAGAATATTTATGAATAGAGTACAAATAAATTACGAAGTCTACACATCGTACTAAAAACTTTTTTTTTTTAAAGAATCTACTTTTTCTTATTTGAAAATTGTTGCATATTTCTCATATTTTATTTGTAACTTTTTTATTTATTCATGCTATAGTAATAGGTATTTTTATGGATAAATTATGGCTACTCAATGCCTACTGCTAATCTGTAGGAAGTATGCAAGTGTGACTAATGTGGCAACCAGGCGAAATAAAGTTTTATTATTGATCTTGTTAGACACAACTGCTCTGCGAACTATAGCCCCATCAAGCATTGAATTATACCCGCAACATCCACTGAACAGCTACTATCATTCTTCAGTCGGAAACAACACACATAGCTAGATTATTCCTTATCATCTCATCTGCACTGAACTAATGAGAACTAATAAGTTCGAAATCGATCTATGTCATGATTTTGCTGACGAGTGATCGTAACTGTTTACTAGATATTGCGCGTGTTATTTAATGTTGAATGGGCATATAATCCGCAGAGTAGTTGTTTCCCACAATATAATAATTAGTTAAAAAATGTTGTATTATCTTCATTTATTTTTTATATTTACGTATTATTACGTTTAAGCACCAACCTTATTCAGATTTATTTATTGGTGTGTATTAACCTATTAATTAAAATTCTACTGTAACACAGGCAAAAAAACTCATATACTTTTTAACAGAGTATGATACCGCCCCGTATTTTGAACCGCTGAAGACGATGGAGTGCTCCAACACGTCAGCCTTTTTTCCCTAACTTGAAAAAATAGCTCAAAGTTAGTGGAAATCTCGATTTTTTTGTCAAAGTAGTTAAGATTTCGAAATTAAAAGACACAGACGCGTTAATAGAGTCAAAATAAAAACTTTTTTTCTAAAATTCATCTTTGTGGAGTTATAACCATTTTTAACCAATTTTAAGCATTAAAATGCCTATAACTGCTTAAGAATTGATTGAAAAAGTGAAAAAATAAAAAAAAATAAAAAATATATTGTGACCAAATTAATACGCCAACAACAAAAAAAAATAAAAAATGAAAAACAATCTTTCAATGCTTTCAAAATATATGTGTAGTAGTGCTATTTTCCTCTTTTTTCCAGTAGTGTCTCTTTTCAATATCAAACAGTAATATGCAATCATATTCACGGCCCATCTTCCCTGATACCATTTATCGAATACCTTGTTGAAATCTTCCTCTTCGCTCTTCCTTTAGTCTTCGAAAAGTATTTCACATTCTGTACTTTTTTGTTGAACATTTCCTAGGCAATAGGAAATGTTCAACAACGTTTGTAAAACTGAGCAACGCAGCTTTTTCTACGTTGTTCATTATTTCAACAAAATTTGTATCATTCATCATAGTACCAATTTGAGTCCGTCAAATATTCTTCTTTTAATTTTTCATCAGAAAGCTGCGGGAAACTTGAAACAGTTTCATTCTTTATTTAAAGCACTTATGAACGAACTGTTTCATCAGACTAAATTCATAAAACTTAGTCTGCTTATACATAATATAAGCAGAAGAAGAAGCTTTGATGGATTTATCAAAGGAGTCATTGACATTATTTTTTGTTCCAGGATTCAAGGAAATTCTTTTTGGACATACTTTCCTCTTGTAATGGTTTTTCCTATTTTTATTATCCCATTCACATAAAAAACAGAGATATTTTATGTTCTCTGCTTGCCCAAAAAAAAAATATTATAACTTAAATCTCCACAAACTCTCCATTTATGAGCATCGTCTTTTATCCTACGTATCTAAAACCAATTTCATATTGTCGTACCCCTCCTTTACCATTACTGAATGTATTATAGAAATAGAAGCGAACTTATTCGTATTATGGAGAACGACTCTCTTTAGCTTTCGCTTAGAGGAATCCATTCTAAATATCTACCTAATATAATCTATATAAATATATGCCTCAATTCATTAATCAGTCATTGATTAATTTGTGCAATATACCAATAAATGTTCTTCATTCCAAGAAATATATTTTCGAGACTCGTATTCCTGAGTTTGTGTATACAGTTCTTATATTCCTTTAGTCAAATTGTATTTTTTCTTCATATGCGATGTTAAATACTCTGATGCTTAATAAATAAATTATAGTTGGAGTCGTGAAGTCCATTATTTTTTTTATTTTTCTTTTTACCATTCGAAGTAAATTCATCCTATTTACTTATGGCTTTCGCTCCTACAATATCAATTTCTTCAAAATCATCATCATTATATATTTAGCATTGTTGGTAGTTGTAATTGTAATTAGTTGAAATATATAAGACAAATGTGATAATTTTCTTTGTTGTTTTTTAATTTTGCGTTTATTTGTTTGTGTTAATTGGGTCAAAATAAAAACTTTTTATTTTTTGTACGTTGTTTTTATGATTTTTACGTAATGAATTATTTCTTAGAATTTGTACACCTCATCATGGGACACTCTGTATATACAAAATTAACTACTATATCAAGCATCTTATTTGTTTTAGGGAAAATGGTGGAATAACAAACCGAAAAATTTGCAAGCACGTCTTGTCATGCAAGAAAATATGTTGGGAAAATGGTATGGATTATGTGTGATTTTACTAGTTGTCATGATGAATTATTTACTTGTTTAGTTTTTAAAGTTCTCACGTTTTCAATTGTTTATAACTTTTTTATTTTGTACATATTTTTTGTGTTAAGTTTGCATTTCTGCATGTAAATAGTTTTGTAATAAAGCTTTTTAACACCCATTTATTTATTTATTATACATCTTTCAATTGCACATAGTTAATTGCAAAAACCTTACACAGTACAAACAGTTTTATTTCTCAGTGTTTTATTTTTATTCCACAAGACAGTAAAGTATTTTTAATGTTCAGGATGATACATTCTAGGAAACACGCCTTTCTTGAAAACAACTCAAGATGATCAATTCTGAAAAAGCTATTATATTTATCAGTGCTTGTCCTTAAATATAGGACAAATAAATTAGGTAAATATTGATACTCCCCCGCGTAATTTTTTTCTCAGAAGCACACCACTGCCTTGATGGTGAAAAAACTATTAGTTGTGAAACGTTTTTTTATTAACGTTTTTTTTTTATTTTATTCAACTATTTCGAAATATTAATAACTGATATCTGAAGTGGACTAGATAGTTCTATTGACACCTTTTTCTTGAGTAGTAGTAACGTATTTTGCCGAGAATTAGATTTATTTTGCAAAATAACATCGTTCATTTCGAGGGGAAAAATGGAGCCTAACTCCATACGTTTTTTATATCTACATCAAGAATGTCAATATTTCGAAAAACAGTTAGTTGAAACTATAAAAAAACACTAAATGGAAGAAGGAATAACACCACTGCAACAACCGAAAAGAAAGCGTTTTTTGACATTTATTTTTAACGGAAGGAAAGGTAATAAGAGAATACTATTCAAGGATGTTATTAGGCATATATTGAAGTATAAAAAAATATATCATTGACATATATTGCAAAGTTGCGGCGCGACGCCGCGGTGCCGCCGCCGGACCCATTCGCAAGACATATTGAATTTGAGACGCTTCACGGCACACAGTGCAGCTGGTGCAAATTTGAATCTAAACAAAATAAAAAATATCTACATAGTTATAGCCAGTGAAACGCGTACAGGATTTTACAAATATTGATTTTTGTGGGATTGGCGAGTATTTGAAGTAAAACCTTCAATTTTCGACCAAAACAATGGTCAATCATTTGTTTATAAAAGAGATTTAAAATATTACACTGTAAAAAAATTTAATTCGAATTTCACTCAATTTTACTCAATAATGTATCAATTTCTGTCCACACCCCATTGAGTGAAATTTTCACTCTATTAGTATGAGTACAACTGAGTGAAACTATTGCATCAGAAATGAGTGAGTTTTAATCAAATTTTTAATCAAACTTGGTTTTTAATTAATTGAATGCAAAATTAAATCACTCATAAATGATTAATTAGGATATACAGTGTTGAAATTAACTCACTTCGCGGGGCCTCCTCCTGTCCTGGCTGAGACCCGCCGCCGCCGGCTAAGGCCTGTTCTCCTGGCGATCATGCTTTTCTGTATCATCTAAGGGGCCCTTCTCAACGGCTCTTATCGAGATTACAGAAGCAATATGTGAGTGGTGCTATTTTCAAGGGGCCATTTAAATTATTCCAAATTAATATACATTTAAACTCTCTCCGTAATGAGGACATTTACTCTGGTTTAGGTACAAGTGCACCAAATACAAGTGTACGTGAAGAATTTAAGGAGTATACCTATATTTGAGTGAAAGTACCGAGTTTTAGTTTAAATATATTCACAAATGAGAGAAATGATCAAAATATTGAGTGAAAATCAATAATTTTACTCAATGGATTCACTCCGAACCATTATTACTTTCACTCACACCGATTTTTTTTACAGTGTATATTCATTTCACTTTTCAACTTATTACCCTGCTACTATTTATATTCAGCGAGTGCTGTTGGAGGTTATGTAGGTATCTTAATCTCTTTGTTTTGCACGTTTATCTACCTGTTAGATAAACGTCAAGCAGTTGTGCTTATTTTTTAAATAAAAAACAAGCAAACTATGGTTATAAATGCTCCATATTTGAATATTTACCTTTTCGCAATATCTTAGATATAAGCTGAAATGGAAATGAGATACAATAAAGGTACTGAGTGAATCCAATGAGTAATATTATTGAGTACATATTCACTCAATATTGAGCATTTTGGTAATTTTACTCATTTATGATAATATATAAAACTAAAATTGAATACTTTCACTCAAATAAATTCTGCAGATAAACGCGTATTTGGTACACTTGTTGCTAAATCGTAGTAAATGTGCTCATTATTGGGTGACCTCACCCCATTCTATGGTTATCGTGCGTTGTCTTTATCTATTCCCATTAGATCATCGGTTATTTTGATGAAGATTATATTTAAATGCAGTGGTTTGATTATAATAATTAAAAACAATAATACATTGAGTCTCGATTAATATTTGGTTAAATAAACGAATAGTTAAATTAATACCTGTACTTACTTACTATGCAACGTACAATATAGGTTATGGCAATCTATTCCTTTAATCGAGATGTAAAATATTGTCTCTAAAACAGATCTGTGTATAAACCACTGTGGGAACTTAGTAGTTTATGACTTTAAAATAATGATATTTAAATTAAAATTTAAAGAGAATATAAAGTGGTGCAAAACCACTCCAAATATTAATGAAATGGAAACGGCGACGGCTGGTGCGGGGGGTTCTAGGCACCCCCTTGTAAATTTTTGTAGTACAAAATTACTCAATAAAAGTTAAATTTAAATCATATTAGAAGAAAAAGTCAACTCTTAATTGGTTTTACAAACTCAGAATAGAGTCAAAAGTCACTCACTTGATAGTTAGCAGAAACTCGGATTTGAGTAAAATTCACTCACATCTGTTGTCATAGTTTCACTCGTAAAATTTTAATTATACTCATACTAATAAAGTGAAAATTTCATTAAATCGGGTGCGGACAGAAATTTATACATTATTGAGTAAAATTTAGTGAATTTGAATGAAAATTTTTTTACAGTGTAATATTTTAAATATCTTTTATAAACAAATGATTGACCATTGTTTTGGTCGAAAATTGAAGGTTTTACTTCAAATACTCGCCAATCCCACAAAAATCAATTGAATACATTTTCAGTCAATATTGGACATTTTGATAATTTTACACTTTTTTAATAATATTTGAACCAAAACTGATAGCTTCTCACAAAATTTTGTTTGTCGCTCATATTAATAGAGGAAATGAACAGTAAAAAATGTATACGAGGTTTTTTTGTCCCAATTTGAAATTGCAATAACTTCAGAACCACTGAAGCGCTCGCTATAAAATGCGGGTGTTAGATAGCGCTAATTGTGATCGCTTTGATATTAAAAGTTGAAAGTGTACCTCTACGAGAGACCTAACATTGGATTGTTAGCTATAAATTGCACGCTATGAATTGGAATAAATAAAAATTTAATGTTAGGTATTGCTGTAGTGTTAGTGTGTTGGTGCTAAATATTTTCAATGCGAAATGGAGGACAGGACAGTGTGTGTGTGTGTGGGGGGGGGGGGGTGTATACATCTCTTTTCAATGTTCAAATAGTATTTTAAACTGTTTTCTCAAAGTATTTACAAATTGTTGCTTTTTTATAGAACTTTACCTTATCCTCACTATTTCACCGTATTTTAGGGGATATTTTAGAGTTTTGCTAAAAACTGACCTGGTAAATCGGTTTTTAGGCTGCGAATTCAGATTCAGCATCAAAAATACACAAGATCTATGTACTCATGTCTCTGGCACAGAACTTTTTTTTTGTGGGGCTGTGTAATTTAACATAAATAGGTACTCTTTTGTTTTCTTTTTATTAATATTATTTTCAAATACAGTTATTATTGGATCTTACTAGTTTTCTGTTTAATATGTTCCATATTAACAGGGGAGTTTTCTCTTACTTATAAATTTTTGGAGGCACATGTAATCTATACTTTATATTTCTGTGAAGTCCCTTCCTCTTTGTGGTTATTAATCAACGTGCAATTTTATAAGGATGAATTTTTTTTCAGTTACAATAGAAGAAAACTGGATGAACTCCCCTTCCATTACTTCCATTTGAATTCCGATTTGGAGGAGTCCAAGTACCTTACTGACATCTCTTGGATCTATGACAAAGTGTGCGGTTCGAATTGTTATCAAATTTTGGAAGACATTAATTTGCAAAGTACTGTTAAACACGAATTTACTCAAATATTAAAAGACTTCATTGAAACTCATGCTAGCGTACTGAACTATGACGGTCGGCAGTTTTATTCTCATTTGTATAAATATTTAGAAGATAAAATTAGTAAGAAAGAATTTAGTGTAGAATATAACGACTCCAACTTATCTAAAATGTATAGTATAACTAAGGATCCACCAGTTCTATCATTAATGCCGTTAAACAGCGCGTTGATGCAAGCACCCGAAGAATTTCCAGATAATGTGTTCCGCGAAAAGACTTTTGATTTAATTATAAGGCTGCCCAAAACTAATCAATTCATCGTTACGGTTTCGACAAATAATGAAGAATTGTGCGTATGGGATATTATCAGGTAAGTTTAGAAAATAACCTGTAACCTGTTCTGGTATGTATGTTCCCTTCTTTGATAATGCAAAAGCCACTCCGACATTTTTAGAACAAACATTAGGGAAATACAATTAAATATTTTATTTTAAGGAAAAAATTACGATAAGTCTGTACTCAGATCTAAAACACACTAATTTTTATAGTACCAAAATAAACTAGTTTCAAGTACTTACCATCTTTAAGGAATTAATTACTGTTAAGGAACACATACAGTTTTTTAATTTTTTTGACACTTGATGCTCACAAGTTTATAAATTTCACTCACTAGTTTCAATGTATGCTATAAAATTTTGAGGAAAGTCGTGTTAGCATAATTTTAATATATATTACATTCAGACTGTAAAAACTAATTTTGAAGATAAAGTAACATAGTCCAATGGAATAAATGTAATACCTATAGTTAGGTTTTATTAACGATATAACCTACATCAAAATTTTATTTTATAATAACGTGAATAAATAAATTAATAACAGTTTTTTTCTACTACTAACTTCTACATTTTAGAACATGATTAGTAACCTGAATTATAGAATTCCTTCCAAAGTTGTAGCTTTATAATTTAAATTTTGAATTTTTATTAAGTCGTTAAAGAACTATTAAAATATAATATTATGCCTTATCATTAATATTTTGCAGCAACATAATTATTAACGAATAGGAAATGTCAACACTGTATTGCACATCTGCCATTTTTTTAATACATAAATCTAATTACTATAATTATACATTTCACAAAATTATTGATAAGTATGCTCAACGCCTTAACAGGTTAATTACAAAATTTAATAGGATAATTAATTTTACTGCCATTAAAACATTACATTCATTTGTTGTAATTATTTATACATCATTATAATCTTGACATGTTTGCACAAAACGAATCACTATAATATACATATAGTAATTTTATAGGCACTTTTTCCATGTAGAACTACCGCAAATTCTTGGGGTCAAAATAAAAAAAAAATATCTAAATGTATCCGTATCCAAAGTTACTTCATTTAGCCGATAGAGGTTGTAAAATTTAACAGACCATTTAAGTATTTATTACTTGCCGAAAATTTTAAATATCGAGTCTTTTTTAATTCAGTATAATTTTTTTTAATTTCCAAAAATTCCAACTAGTTTCGGCATTATGTCATCTTCAGGAAGAGAAACTGGAGTTGTTCTGTTTGTAACGCACTCTTGCATATCTAGGAATGATATTTTTTCCGGTAGAATGGAACCAAATTGAATAATGGTAGCTAGTTCAGCACATCTCATCCGTCAATATAACAAGTTATACAGGGTAGCCCATCGAAAACGTACCGCAAGGCATTACAGGGTAGTAAAGAACTTTTCGGCAAAATCCAAAAACAGGTCAAATTTGTTTCTGAGGTGGCTCAACTTTTGGCTCAAAAAGCATATCAAAATCTTCAACCACCTAAGTGGGGGTGCTATCCCCTAAATTTGGGAATGGGGGTCAAGTGGGGGGTCATTAGAAAGGGCTTTTAATTCTCTATACATCGATTCTTACTTTTTGAAAATCGATCCATTATTTTAGAAAATATGCAGCTTTGAAAATACGAACAATATTTTTCAAAACTTACGGTATTAGTCAAGTTGTCCGCTTTTAATGTGCCCCCTGAGAAAGAAATCTAAAGGATTTAAGTCGGGTGACCGAGGGGGGCACTCAATTGCACCTCTTCGTCCTATCCAGCGTCCTGGAAACGTCTCATTTAGGTAATTGCGCACATTGAGCGAGTAATGTGGAGGAGCTCCGTCTTGCTGGAAAATCAGTTCGTGTTCATTGTAAGCAGGGTCGTCCTCTATGATATTTGTTAGAGCTGGGTCGATGACATTTTGTAGTAAATCCAAGTACATATCGCCTGTCAAATTTCCAGGAAGGAAAAAAGGACCTACAATGGAATTTCCAAAAATACCTGCCCATACATTCAACTTCTAGGGGTGTTGGGAGTGTGTCTCATGGAAAATCCTTGGATTGGTATCAGCCCAGTAACGACAATTATGGCGATTCACTAAACCATTCAAGAAGAACGTACACTCGTCCGAAAAACACACATTAAAGAGGAAATTATCGTTTATCGCTGGTTCAGTCATTATTTCGCAAAATTGCAAACGACGATCAAAATCGTCTTCATTTAGCTCTAGCACTAGCCGAATCTTATAAGGATGGAATTTGTATTTTTTTAATATTCGTTGGACACTTGTACGACTCACTCCTGTCGCAGTAGCCAATTGCATTGTACTCAGCGTACTATCCATTGCCACTTGCCCCAATTTCCGTAGGTTCATTTAGTACCGGATTTTCAACCTGCCTCTTTTTGTTATGAACGGAGCCAGTTTCGCGAAATTTGGCCACCAATTCGCGAACAATTTTTCCAGACGCATTGTTTCTCAGGATGCCGTTGGTTGAACAGTTCGGCGACCCGATTTCCGCAATCATTGTTTTTGATAAAAAGCTCTATAATTTCTACTCTTTCTGGAATTGAGTACACCATAATTAATCAATTTAAAAGACTCGACAGTATTAGTACTCTTCAACTACAAGTCACAAGACAGTTATCTAGCAACTTCTTGTGGCCTATCTAAATACGAAACAAAAAGCGGACAATTTTTTTGCTCACCAAAATCAGGCTAAAGAATTTGCAAATCAGAAAAAAAACAGCGAATTCTTTTGAAGGAATTTATCAAGCTAATACCTATTTAAATAAATTTAGTTGATGGTACATCAATACTTATGTATACATAGAAGTCATTTTTTGACTTCAACAACTACATCGATTTTTCCATTCTTGTACCGAAAAGATGCTTACCAGATGGGTAGAAATGTTTGCCAGTACATATACTTGTTCAATATGCTTTCTAATTTTTATGATGTCCTATTTCTAAAGGGCAGCGACGAGTCAGATTTGTAAATTTATTGCTTTTGGTTACAAAACATGAACAATGACATGGAACTTTTTAATGACTTTAAAATATACTTGAAACTCCTTATTTGTCAGTATTTATTGCCTAGAAGAGGCTAATACTTATTCCTAAATTTAATGAACCCTATCAACTAAACAAAGTAACTTTGCATAAGGGTAATATTAGTTAAACCGTCTTATACTGACTTTAAAAATCTGTGGTAGTTCCATATACCGGGTGATTCTGAAATAAGTGTGCTCCTTGAAAAGGGTGTTAGAGGACACACAAATGAGCAACTTTTATTAAGCAACTGATGGTCTAAATGCTTCGGTTTTCGAGAAAATCAATTAAGAGAATTAACCATAAATGTAAACCAACCCTGTGCATCTTGTGAACGGACAGAATACTTCCGATTCGCTACAGGCGTAAAGCGCTTCTCTAATTGACAGAGGTTCCAAGTTCCACAATCAAGCAAATGTTATAGTATGTCAGTATGTCTTGTGTTCTTTAGTTGTATGTTGCAGTATTACTTAACCGGCGGCGGCGTAGAAAATGTTTTCTGATCAAGAATTAGCAGTTATGGTGTTAATGTACGGAGAATATCTGTACAATTTAAATTAGACTTGTCGTTTGTATGCGGTCTGTTAACGTAATAGACGACAACCTAACAGTGCAAAAGGCAACTCAAAGGTTACGGAATACCGAGAATGTCGACCTGACATATGAAAGTCATATACGGGAAAACATAATAAACCTCGTTGTGGAAGTGAAGTGGGGTGTATCCAATAGTACCGTGTGGTATGAATAAATCAGATTTGAATAAATTTCAGCATTTTCGAATACAAAATTTAAATCGTCAAAACCGCCATCAGCGCTTTCGCACTGCGGCGCGCGGCAGCTTCGATATCAAAGCTACAGCTGGCTGCCGCACCAGGGACGACTTTAAATTTGTTTCAACCTTCATGGGAAAAAATTTTCAGAGCATCAGTTCCTTAATAAAAGTTGCGCATTTCCGTGGCCTCTGTCAAGGAATTCCGCATTCTACGTCTCCATTCAATATATAAGGAATATTGGGACATTCTATAATTATATTTGCAGTTCTCAACCTGTACGGATATTAAAGGGAATACCACACCCGACCAACGTTATACCCATAGACAAATTTAAATGTATAGTACTGTGTAGAAGGGAGCTGAGAATATACGACTTAAACTCCGGTAGTTTTGTAACTAAACTAAAAGGAGTTATGAACCAAAAGATGCCTTATTATGGGCTGCATGACCAATCCCATTTAGTGGCACTTAGTAGGAACCGAATGTATATAAATCTTATGAATTTAGAATCAGGTAAGTTTATTATTAGAGATATGGTAATGCAATTCCTTGAACCTATGAGTTTAATATTAGAAAATTATGAAACTATACAAAATTTCAATTTGGGTTACGTATTTAACGATTCAACAATTCATCTTCATTGCTGAAGTATGTGAAGTTGAACAACTTCGTCATTGAAGCAAAACTGATGGATGTTGAACCAACTACATGGTATTTAGTTCTTTTATTTGTGTAGAAACCCATAAAAGTTTTGTATCTGTATCTAAGATAATCGCCTAATTTCTTTTAGAGGGCATTAAAATTTATTTGTCTTGATGCTACTGTCGCTTTTAGAGTGATGAATCACAGCTTACCATGGATTTTATATCCTTCAAAAATTTAGTATAACTATTTAACAATTTTTTTAATTAAAATCTGACACGATAACGTTAATTAGGACCCCTAGAAATATTCATATAGAAAATACTAATAGAAAATACACACAGTGTTTCTTTGTCTAGATATATGTTTGAATCATGGAAATGCCCCTTAAGATATTACCACTTTAAATGAAGGGATAAAATCTTTTCTTTGTCTTACGTCGTACAGTAACAAGACTTATCCGAAATTACAGATATTTACTGGTGTTTATTTTGCAGGTGACTGCGTTACCACATTCAAGGCAGGGGAAGACCGCTTTCTCAATTCCCTGCTGGTTTCGGGGGATGGGAGGTACGCAATTTCTTTTTTAAATTTTATTAACCAAGAGTTTTTCGTGATGTTAGAAAAATATATCATGTTTATTTAAATATCTCTAAAAATATTTTATATAAACTGAGGAAACTTGAGTCAAGGATATAACTAATTAATGGCAAAAATCCGCACAATTACTATTCAATTCTGTCAACTGATTGCGGAAATATAGAAGGTACTGTCACTAAAAATCGTAAAATTTCCACGCCGCAGGCTATTTTGAAAATTGAGTCCATTTAGTTACTAATCCAGTTTTTTTTTTAAAAAAAAGGTGTCTCACTTCAATTGGAAAACGAGCCATTTTCAAGTTATAATTTTTTTAAATGTAAATAAGTAGGGTATAGTTTAGTAAATTACATGTGCTATTAGTCTATTACTTTGTATAATAGTAACTTTAATTTACTTTATATGATGATTATATTTAATGCTCTGCAACAAATTAAAAATACATTACTTTAGAAATAAATTAGTTCGACAGTAAACATAACATTTATTAACGTTAATACACATTTAAATGTTAAATTAATGTCAACTGCATATGACAAAAATTGCGAGGTAAATAACAGACTATACTCTGTTTGGAAATGAAAGAGAGTAATAAAACCCCGAGATAAGAACCGGCCATGGGCGTGGTAATATTTCGTTTCAGGTAATTATCGGGTAACACTAATGCTAACAAAAATGACAGGGATTGGAAAATCGACTATCTACAGACTTTTAAAGGAAACAAAAAATGAACAAGATACTGTAAATCCCCCAAAATCATCTACAGGGAGGTCAAAAGTCGTTATAGATGATTTCTTCAAAAATGTCATTCGCAGAAAAGTACACTCATTTTATTTTAAAAAAGAAATACCAACGCTAAACAAAATTTTAAGTGAACTTTCAGAGGACAACGATTTGCCAAAAATCAGTAGAAGCAAATTATGGGCCGTCTTACGAGAGTTGAATTTTTGCTGGGAAAAGCAGAACAGGAAGTCAGTTCTTATCGATAAAGATGAAATTATTTGTTGGCGAAGATCCTACTTAAGATCAATTAGAAAATTCCGTGACGAAGGGAGGAATATTTATTATCTAGACGAAACTTGGGTCAACGAGGGATATACTGTAACAAAAGTATGGCAAGATAAAAATGTAAAAAGTTTTCGACAAGCATTTTTGGATGGACTTTCAACAGGGTTCAAGGCACCTTCAGGTAAAGGGCGAAGATTAATAGTGACACATATAGGTAGTGCCAGTGGTTTTGTAGATGGCGGTTTACTTTTATTTGAATCTAAAAATACAGGTGACTATCACGAAGACATGAACGCAGATGTTTTCGAAGAGTATTTTACACAGATGTTGGATCTTATTCCTCCGGGGTCTGTAATTGTCATGGATAATGCCAGTTACCATTCACGGCAGACCGAGCGGACGCCTACGACTGCTTGGAGGAAAGCCGATATAATTCAATGGTTATCCGGAAAAAACATTTCTTTTGAAACAAATATGGTGAAAAAGGAACTTTTGACACTTGTCAATCTTAATAAAGATCAGAAAAAATATGTTATCGATGAAATGGCAACAAATCGCCAAATAACGGTACTACGGTTACCACCTTATCACTGTGAACTTAACCCAATCGAATTAGTCTGGGCGCAGGTAAAAGGAGATGTAGCGCGAAATAATACGACGTTTAAATTAAGTGACGTGAAAATTTTGTTAAAAAATTCCTTGGAACGAGTAACTGCAGATAACTGGCAAAGATGTATACATCATGTACAAAAAGAAGAGGAGAAAATGTGGGAACTCGATAATTTAATTGACGTTACTGTGGAACCTATCGTTATCAATCTAGGAGACGAAGATAATTCATCAGAATATTCAGAGGATGAATTTTAATATACCTACTTTTTTATTTTCTTTATTGTACATTTATACAACACTACATTTACTCACCATAATTTGAATTTTCAAAATACATATATTTTTGTGTGGAATAAAAGTCTATTCATTAAATTTAAATAAATATTTTGATAATAATATTGAATAATTTTATTTGAATTACTAAAAACCCTCTTAACCCGGTTATGATGCTTAAAGTAGCCTCATGTTTTGAAATGCTGTTTTTATATTGTTTACTTATAAGAGAAATGGACCGAGAAATTGAAGCGGCATAGACAAAGACGGATTGTCGGGGATTAAATTTTAGCTACCTGCTACAATTTAGTACAGTCCGATCGCACAAAGTTTTGTTAAAAGTAGACCTCATCTATATGGAAAATGCATAATATAAAAATATTGAATATAAGCACCAGTACTACATTTATTTACGATTTGCATACATAATGAGCTTTTATTACTCTCTTTCATTTCTAAACAGACTATAGTAAGGCATTCAACGTTGAAGGCACCACGGGAAGATAATAATAACCTCTTAAAAACCATCCAGGAATAAAATGTACATTTTAATTTTTATACCCAGTAATATCCACATTTTTTAGCACTTAGTAACAGTGTCACTAGACTGACAAATTTGAATATTCTGTGAAATTTTTGTTTTGAATTTTGAAAATTAAAATTAATGGCTATGATTTTAGAAGTATGATTTATTTAATTAGGATTACTACAATATGTAAGAAATATTAAGTTTCATATCTCAATTTTGAATATTAAAATTATTACTATACCCTAAACAGGGTCACTCACAACTTCTCTAAAAGAAAAAATTATGGGATATACAATAGTATCAATACAAGTACCATAACGTAAAAAAAGGAAATACAAACGACACTTCGACAATTACTTTAAAATGTTTAGAGTTTTAGTACAACTACTTCTGTTATTTTAGCGAATTCAGATATTACTTTTACTATTGTTATTAATCATCAAGAAATTAATACTTACGTGATATTACAAAACTGTTCAAAATTAACTGTAATATGTTCATGTAAATCATCGATAGTTTCCAATTACGACACTATCCATTTTTTAAATGTCCCCACAAAAAAGTCGAGATGGTTTAAATTAGGAGACTACAGGGGCTATGCTGCCGGTCCTTCTCGTCCAATCCTCCGTGATTCTTGGACATTAAAGTAATCTTGTCAAAATTAGAGGGCGCGCCATCATGCATCGTTGTCAATCTCTGCCCAAAGAGACACACAAGAAGACATGCGTGTTATGAACTATATTTGTCCTATTTCGTGTAACATGCCTCCATCTGTAACTAAAGCAGATGTAGATCAGGCATTTTCAGCATTTCGTAGTAGCAACCATTCACAAAATCTAACCCGTAACAGATAATCCACTGGTACGGATGGATACATTTGAGTCTCGTGTAATACAGAGCCTTCGTAAATGATTACAAGCCACGTGACCGGTAATTTTGTTTCGCCACCTTGTGATTGGTATAATTTTTCACGAGATTTAATTCAACCAATCGGCGATCGCAATATCTCGAATGTAGACGTAATGGCTTCTCATTGTTCATTGTAAACGAATCATTGATATTGATGACACTAAGATTTAGAGATTTTCAGTTGCCAGTACAAGATGTACAATATTGGTTGCATAAGCTTGATGGTCACTTGTCTTGTAAACATTTATAAAGGCTCTGTATATGACCACACTATGGGTTGACTCAACCAAAACATGAAGAGGTCCCACGAACCGTTCGAACCCGTCCGCGTCAGTGGTCCAAATGACGGAGAAATGACGTTCGGGCCTACAGAGATGACATGGATAAAAAACGCGAGGTCATTTTTCCTACCAAGTATGTTGCGACTATTGGTTGGGACAGTCCACATACTCTCATATTTGCCTTGTATTTATACTTCTTCCGCAATATTTCTTTGCTTCTCGGCTTCTACAATATAACGTGACGTCTGCAACCTCCATCTATTCCATGATTCGGTCACAATTTTACCCTTTCAGGCCCTTATTGGACTACCACGATGAAGGTAGGGGATATTTTAAATACTTGTAAATGGTAAATACGGGCACTCACTATGAAAACCGCATACTGAATAAATAGGCGTTACTCAACCTAAATTGTAAATATTCAATATTAACAGATTTAAGGTACCGCTCGGGACGTCGCTGGACTTAAAAAATCAAGTTAGGGTTAAACACTTAACACTACAAATAACACTGCCAAATTACAACAAAATTGGGTAAAGGATGTTTAAGATATTTACGAAATGGTATTTTTTTTACAAAAGTTTAACACCCTGTATCTTGAAAACGAAGCATTTGCGGACTAATGTTTATATGAACTTTTTGTCTTAAAATTACTCAAATAACCGTCTGTTGAATTTATTGTACAGACTTAATTAACACCTTGTATAATATACTATTTATTTTAGAGTCCTTGTATGTGGTGATGAAACTCAGAAACCTTTTCCATTGTTGGTGTGGAATTTGAAATCCAGGAAATTGTTATATGACCTTAGGATTCCTCATCACGACTTTATTACGTCTTTATCAGCAATTACCTTTGAAGGTAAATATTTTAGGATTAACATATACTGTTACAAATCAAATGAAAGCTTAAATAAAAAATATAAATATTTGAATCGTTATAAATAATAATCCAAAAACAAACTTTAATTTATGAAATGAGTAATAAGGAATAAGTTCCTACGTGTATAATTACCACTTTATAGTTATTTTTGGAAAATGCAGTACCCATAAAGCTTATGGAACAGAAAAGGTAATAAATTGAAAGTGTTGAGAGAAACAACTACTCCGCGGGCTATATGCCCCGACCGGCATTGAATTATATTCTCAATACCAAGTGTAACAGCTACGACACTAAAACAGCCGGATCATTCGTCGGTTGTCTCACCTACGACATGGATGAGGATGGACCTTGGATGAGGACGAATAAGTCCGAAACCGGTCTATGTCTGATGGGTCGAACGATCCTAGCTGTTGTACTACGTGTTGCGGGTATAATTCAATGCCGGTCGGGGCATATAGCCCGCGGAGTAGTTGTTTCTCGCAACTCTGTCAATTTAAAACATTTTGTTTTCGCCCAGTTGGCGACGGTCGTGCAAATAAGTACCTGGTAAATTTTAGCAGGTCACTTCCTACTGGTAGTAGGCATTAGAATGGCGTAGTTGGGAAGTATCGCGATAGATGGAGCCATTTACGCTCTGTGTATAAGAAAAGGTAATAGAAGCTTTCTAATTTTTTATGTGGAAATACGGAAACACCGTTCGTATACCGTAGGAATGATATAAATGAAAATATGGAAAAAAAGTTCATAATAGGTCATAAAATGCAATATAAATGAGCTCTGGCCATTCAAAGATAGCCACTAAAATTGTTTATTGTTTTATTTTAGAATATCTGTAAATTTTTATATAGGAATAACTGTCAGTAATTCTAAGTGGGGAGAAAGCCACAAGTAGATCAAAGGATTAACAATAACATAAATGAACAAGCACGTTGACATAGTCACACAATGAAATGCATTAAAACGGTAGTATTATATAGAAATAGAATCGGTAGAGGAGACCATAGAAGAAGATACAAAGACGAACAAGTGGTTCGATGAGGAATGTAAAATTGCTATAAGGGAGAGAAAAAAGTTCTAGGATACTAACAAAAGGCAGAGGAAAAGAAAAAGAAAGCAGTACGAATAAATAGCACTACTCCTGGTAGCACAATCGTGTGCAATTCTAATACAAGTTGTTTCAAGATTACTTGAAATAGCCAAATTGTGTCAGATTGTTTTGTGTCTATTGCTGAAATTTATATCGTTTCTTATACAAGTATCTAACTTAATACTTGCACCAGACTTAACCAAAAGTACTTGAGTCCATAACTCAACATGTAGCAGACTTGCTGCAGAACTGAAGAATGTATATGTATATGCAACATAGTCACTTGCTTTAATTTACCCCTTTGTGCTCAAATGCCCTGAATCAAATCCATTGAAAGCTTTGATCAAGACAATTGCACAATGAATCTTGCAGTAAACTAATGCAGATTTCAGCAATAGGTACGTAGCAGTCTTATATAAGTGTTTTGTGCAAGATTGCGCTACCAGGGACCACAGTCACATAAGAGAAATATTTAAATATTTTAATAAATTTAACAAACGTTTACAGTCTAGAAACCATCTTTCCAAAAGTGAAAGTGGCAGAATGCTCGTAAATTTGTAAGAGGTAATAGACAGTTGAGCGAAATACTTTGAGCTGGTAAACAGTAGGTACTGAATTTTCAAATGATGTGAAAATGCGATCAGCGTTACAAATCTGCAGGTATAAATGGAATACAGGCAGAATTATTAAAATATGGAAGATTAAACCTAACAAAAACAATTCATACACTACTTAATGTTAGGAAAGATTAAGTAATGCCAAAAGAATGGAATATAAGTATCATTGCGGTGCACAAAAAGGGTGATACGCTGTGATGTAGTAACTACCAAAAAATATACCTCGTAAATATACAACTACTAGAGCAAAATGGTCAAAAATGGGCCAAATTTATACTCTACGACAAATATTAGAAAAATGCTGGATATTAATTTACATTCTACTATGCGAAGATTATAAACAAGTAAAATTATAGCACTGAGCATAATACGAGTATATTTGGAGCACCCTAGGTGACTTCAGTATACCTGTACCTTTAACTTAATTATGTTAATCAACAAAACTTAATCAAAATGACACTAAAAACTAAGAACCGCAAATATAAAAATGAGAATGGAATGTTTGATAAATTTAATGTTATTCATGGATAGAAGCAAGATAATACGTTATCATGATTTTTAACCTGGTGCTAGCGAAAATGATTCGGGGGGCCAATCCAACTAGCGTTAGTATAATTTTTGACAAAAAGTTGCTAAGTTCAGGAAACAATATGGGAGGAACTCTGTTTCAGCTGAAGTAAGACAAAATTCTGGCTTCCATATAAACACTGTTTATGAAACAGTATAAAACGAATATATCTCCAGACGAATAGCTCAAACACATAACACTGAATTTGCTACAGTGGAGAAATTTAAATATCTGGGGACCGTAATTACAGATAGCCGTGATATGTTTAAAAAATAAAATAGCGTTTTATATCAGCTTAAATCATAGACCTTACAGTTTACTAGGTCTATGGCTTAAATTATAGTTTGAAAGGCGTGATATCTTCAAAGAAAGTTTTAAAAAAGTTAAACCAATTTTGGCATATGGATGTAAAGCTTTGATGTTCATGAAGCATCTTCTAAGTAGATTTGAAAGAAAAGTCTTGCATCTTTGGAACAGTTTATAATACGATACAATGAATGAATAGAGAACTCGTTTTAATGTTGCACTTAACTGATCTCAAACAATTTAGAGGATTCATAAAAAACAGGACATCAGATAGTTTAGCGCTTAAGATGGTGTGATGTAGTTACTGCAGATCTTAGGAACTAAAGAGAAAGGGCAACATATAGAAACAAGTAAAAGGCAATTGTGAAAGAGACCGAAGCTATCTATGGCCAGTAGAGCAAATGTGTGTTTACGTAAATGAGTGTATATGCAGGTGTGCCTAAGCATATGCATGTACTAAGTGGAACAAGAAATAAATTATTGTGTCCTTCTACGTCTTCTTATAAAGACCTATAGTATGTCAAAAATAAATAAAATTAATTTCAACTTTTGTTGAACGTTAATTCGGCATATTTTATACGCTGTCTGAACCATTGTATATACAAATTAAAATTACGGGACTATTAACATTAAGCATTTTCTATTTCTAACGTATTTATTAAAAAATTATAGCCAACATATTATTTTCAGGTAATTATGTTTGTTGTGTATGCCACGAAATAGATGAACCCAATCCGAATTTTATTGTTGTATATGATTTGCAAAGCGGCACGTTATTTAAAAAATGGAAGCCATCTTGTAATACGGTTTCCTTAGAAATAAGCTCACAAGGTGGCTGTGTCATATCTGGTCTCGAAGATGCAAGGATTCTTGTGTGGGACCTCATTACTGGTACAAATATTTTTCCTTTTTTGTAGAATTTTTCTGCTCTGGTAAAATATTTTCATATTAAGTTATTTTTGTTTATTTTTTAAGGTAATTGTCGGTGGTCATTAAGTGGACATACTGCACCAGTATCTTTATTACGATTAGACCCTACAGGAGCAGTGTGTCTTTCCACGGATTCAGAGTGCAGAGACAGGTCAATTCGAATATGGGATCTAAATAAAGGTAAATGAACAACTTTACTATCGTTTTATTAATCGAATTTCTATACTTAATATGCGAGTTTTCCGTCAGATCCTTGAATTTAGATCAAGTTTCCTTCAGATTCCTTGGGTCGTTTTAAGAAAAAAGCAGTCCAACAGCGACTCGTACATTGACAAACTTTTAGGGTGGATTTACCTCGTGAAAATAAGCAAATAAGCAAACTGATTGGAGTGTTTTTCGGCACTTTCACTTCTCTTTTTAATAGGTATATTTTGCGAGAGAAAGTCATTAAATATTAGAAATAGTTTCGTAGCATTATTATTGGAGAGTTTATAGAAATTGTCCATCTATGCACAAATGTAAGATGCTATTTACAAAACAGAAAAGCATTTTGGATTGAATTTTAATTAACTCGGGTAAGTTACTGCATGCCATTAGCCATACACTTCCACGAAAAATGTGAAATTGGGGCTTGTATTCGATACATTGAAATACTAGTGAACAAGCTGAAGCCTCCCAATATAAAGGAAATACCGGGAAATTTGCTCAAAACGAATAATATAGCTTTAATATTCGTTCTTATACTACTGTTCATGTATTAAATATGCTGCATATACTACGAAGTTTTAATTATTGCAACGTCTATCGTATGTCTGAACTGGACGTTATCATAATCTCATCTGTTTAAACCTTTCAAAGAACATTTTCAAAGTCAGAAATTTACATACGATAATGAAGCAATTGGGATGGTGCAAAGTTAGTGGAAAAACACCAAAAAGCTGTTTTGCGACGAGCATACACCAAAAACACTATGAAACAGGAAAATGGTCAAAATGTAAACAATTTCTATAAACGCCCTTGTAACAACGTTATTAAACAATTTCTAATGATTTTCTCTCGTATAATATAAAATTCCCACCTTTAATATAAAAATAGTCAAATGAAGAAATGCTTAATATTTGTATACTTTATACATTTATATTTTTAGGTGATTTGGTAGCTGTATATACTCCAAAAACCAATATCACTGCATGTGAGATAACATCCCATGGTAGACATATCGTCCTTGCCTTAGATGGATATAAACAATTAATAACTCTTCAGTTGCGAGGACAGGGCATTGAAGAACAACAAGAGAATGAATCTTATGGTGATCCAGACTACACAGGCAAAACATTTGTTTTACAAGATACTTGCTGACCGAAATAAATATTCATTCATTCATTTTCATCTGAAATAATTTGACATAAATATGTCTGTAATACTTATTTGTCAATATCATTGGTTTACTTGTTTATTTATTTATTTGGAGATCTGTGCTGGTCACAGTTCTCAAAACATAGGCAGCTCATTATTCTAATGAAATAATGTTTCTGATTAAAGTAAATACCTTAATAGAAAAAATATAAAAAGTTATTTTCATAATTGGCAGCTCTAAATATAAAAAACAACATTTGTGTTAAAGATCTTTTACTCTGTTCCAATAATTAGCTATAATTTTTTTTTTAAATAATACAATTCGATATAATGCAGGAATAATTTTTGCGAGTTTTGTGCATTATACGTTCCAATCGCCTTAATTTAGTTAACAAACTCTTCAATTAGAAAATAAAGATAATAAAATACACAGAACTTCTATTAACATTTCAAATAAGGTTATAAGTTTTAAGACAACTTTTTTTCAAAGAAAACATACACGAAATTGAAGAAAAGAATAAATCACAACAAAATTTTAGAAATTATAAAAGTAATATATATGTAATAAAAATATTTTATGATAGGTTTTCATAAAACATAGAAAAAAACTGTAATATTTTTACATTTGTTATTATCCGTTGATATTATAAATTAAATTTATAAAAATGTAATATTTTTAATGCACGTGTTTATCGAAAAAAGCATCGAAATACCTAAATTTGTATACCTCTTCAATACTATAATGCAGTAATCTGTATATTTTGAAAGAATTATAGCATCTTCAAACGTCTATAACAAGGTATAACTATTTTCCCAAAATTGTAATGAAATTATAGGTACCTAATTGTTAATTGTAAATTATTAATTATAAAATGATATTCTGGCACAATCGACACCATGAATTACGTAATATAATTAAAAAAAAGCTACTATTTTTACAAAGTTACGCAGTAATTTTGGTGATGGACTTATTGGGATCTCGGAAACTTTAAGAAAAACAATTAAATGAGGACTGTTTTAAAAAATTGTTTTAATTTTTTGAATGAAATATAATATAACTTTAATATAAATATAATATATCTAACTCTTACTAATTTGTGAAATCTATAAAATTTTACTGTAGAGTGAGATTTTTGTTGCTTCTCGTTTCGAGGCACCGGTATTATTTCCTTAAATGTGCAACAAATTCAGTAACGTGCCGAAAAACAAAAGAAATGAAAAGAAAAAGAAAATTGCTAAAGATATTTTTATGAAACAACAATTTCAGTTCACAATAAGATTAATTGCAAAAAGTTGCTCCAATTAAGTTACAGAATTGCGCGAACAGGTAGAACCAGACTGCAAATACTATTAAGTTACTTATAAAACCTCTTACATTTTTCGAGACCCCAATACATACATTTTCAAAATGTCCCACCCGGTATTTTCTCCTTATCCCCTTTCCCTTAATTTAAACAAGAATTTTATCAAAACCGTAAACATATTTTGGCATATGAAATTTATTTCTATTTTTCTAAAATTCACGATCAAAATATTATCTACTTTTTCTCTCATCAAAAGACAAATTGCTTTTATGGGCGTATTTCAAGAGCATCTTGTATAAAATAAATCAATTATTCAATTGATTTAAATATTTAATCAATTCATATAAATATTTTCCTGCAATCTGAATCATATCCTAGTTCAATTGTTTTCGGTTATTAAATTAAATGACAGAATTGTATTATGGGTTCCAGAAACATTGGGAACACGCTTGTCCACAGACCCTTGAGAAAAAAATGAGTCCGGTACGCTTAAAAACTATCAATGCCTTTCTCGAGAAAGATTGAACCGTATCAGTGTGATGAGGTTAATTAATATTTCTATAATTATTATTAATAGTTTTTCTTCTGCTTATTAATAAAAAATATAAAAAATAGACGCCACATTTTAAACATAAGCAAATGTGCTTATTAATTAACAATATAAAGTCTCCGAATAGCTCAAACCATTTACAATTTATACTATGAAAAAATCCTTTTGCTATAGCACATTGTATATAGGATGTAGGTGTTGACTTCGAAATCGATAAATTTATCTAAATCGTCTTATTTTGATCTAAGACGTCCGTGTCCGTGGTCCAACGTGCTCCCAATACCTAGTTGTAGAACAACTTATATGTATATTTTCCATTTTATGTGCTATATAATTTTAATAATAACTTGATTCTGGCAAAGCAGTCTGGATATCACTTTTTTATTTTTTTAAACAATACATATCAATTTACATACAATGTATTTAATATTTCGATTTTAATAATAAAATTCATTTAAGATATATTATTTGTAATTACAAATAGCTAATGTAGTTAAAAGTTTCAGGATTATAATCGGTGAATTGTATTATTACATAACCAAAAAAAAAAGTGATAAAATATAACTTTTAAGGATTAGAATTAATTTTACTTACCTAAGTACCTAAAGTAGATAGATGTAGGAATCATATTTCGGAAGCATTATTTTATCTTTTTCTTAGGACTGTTAATCAAATATTTTTAGTTCCTTGTATTATACTTTACATTTATTAGGCGTGAATAGTTAATAATAATTAGCATATTGGCAAGTAAGTAATAAAATCGTAATTACTTTAATTTAAACCTATGCTGTTAAATATATATTCCCATCTGGTATGCGGAACAATATTACTTAAAATATTATATTTCTATGTTGTAATTCTTGTGTATAAATATATGGAACGATTAAACATTTTTTCGTTGTTTTACGTGCTTACATTTTCCCATACATAACAATTTTAAACAAATTAGTTTATCTTAATAGTCCTGCAGCTCATGGCAAAGTAAGAAGTAAGTATTTTCGGGTATAATAATGATGATGGAAGGGGATGCACCCACTCGCCGGTAACGGGGTTTCCAGGTAGCTCGGGCTCTTTCCCTTCACGCCAATCACAACGGACGCTTGAGAGAGAGGACGTTGATGCTGTCGCTCTTCCTCGGTTGATGATGAGAATGGGGTCATTCAGTAAATCAAAAACGTTCTTATTTTGTATACACAAAGTATTGCTCATGATTAGGCGATCCTGAAAATTTCAACTCAATCCGTTGAGCGATTTTCGAACACCTATATGATTTTTTTCTCAGCCGTGGCAATGCAATGGCGTCACCGCATAGGACGGTCAGCCGACTTGGCGCTACTTCCAGTTGAGTTTCTGCACCTACAGAATGTTTCAGCGTTTGTGCATATTAAATTTAAAAAATGGAAGCAAATTTCGTAAAAGCAGATTTTTCTAATTTACCAGAAGTAGGTTTGTTAATGGTTATGGATTTTTTTTAATAAAAACCACGACTTAATCAATACTGAGATGAGAAGAGTGAAAATGCAAAGGTTACATTTCAATAACATGTAAAGCTTCTTTAAAGTACGTTTGTAGCGAAAATGTTGATGTTTTTGTACAATACGAATAGTAAATAAGAATAAGGATTTTGCGTTTAATTGGACGAAACCGTTTCTGTCACAGGTTTACCTAATCAAATACAAAATTCTTATTGCTATTTTTATTCCCATGGAAACTACATAAAATCTACCTAATATAATATAAATATATTAATAATATAATATTTATTATATATTTTTATATAAATACTTAATACCTATATCAACAATGGAAAACACAAGTGTAGAGTGTTTCTAGCGTATTTATTACATACCTAAATTACGCAGGGTTGTTTTTTGCTTTCAAAATAAGTCATTTTTCAAATAAAAGATATTAAAAAAAAACAAATTAAAGTAGAAACTAATAGACTATTGATTTTAGATCCGCACGACAGAATTACGGGGACATTATTATCTTCTTAGGCGTCTTCACACTACTAGTACTCTCACACTGGGGAATAGATACAATATTTGTAATTATTTTTGTTCTGTCTCTTCCATATTGCTAACAACGATATCTTAACGTACTCAATCGAAACTTAACAGGCAACTAAAACCTGACTACCCGACTGACTGACAACCCTGACAACACACACAAGCATGTGGCATCGATTTCCCATGCGGTGACGTCACACCCGTCGGTTCAGAGGATACTCAACACGCCAGTTTATGTTTTTTTTTAATGACTTGTAGGCGATATAAAATTCTATTTCTTGCAGAAAACCTTAAAATTGATATACAGGGTGTTTTTGAATCGAGTAGCATAAATGATACCAGTGAATCTACATTTCAAAAGAACACGATCTGCAAAAAATGGCCTTAGTAAAATGTTCACCCCTGAAGAGATATGGGCCATCAAAGTTTCCAAAAAAATTATGAAAATTGGCTGTAATTTGAAAACCGAACGAGGTACAAATAACAAATTTTTTACAGGTTGTTTACTAATACAGATGCGAGTTTTCAACTATTTTTCGAAAATTTTAACCCCTCGAAAGGGGTTGAAATAACCACCCCTCAAGCCATTTTTTGCCATAACTTTTATATTTCGTAAAAACTCGATATCCAAAAATACGCATTAGATAAACTGGTTCTTTTAGAAACTTTTACCTCTCTAGCAATTTTCCTTTAAAACTTTTCGTTTATTAATAAAAAAATAAAATGTATTACCATTCACCTCACACCGTATATGATTGCAATCAATCAAAGAAAAACTAAGTGTGCTGCTGTCATGCCAGTTGTCACAATTAACTCTTCTGTAAGTTGTCACTGTTATCAGCTAAATACTTTTTGGGTGTAAATTAACAAGAATTATGCCAAATTTTACTAATGATGAATATGTGGACATGCTACAAGTGTATTTTGAATGTCGCAAAAACTGTGCTGCGGCAACAAGAGCGTATAATGAGAGATATCCAAATCGTCAAGTTCCCCACAGACAAACTTTTTCGGCGGTAGAACGAAGACTTCGGGAAACTGGAAAAATACAGCCGCATATTGAGGGTACCGGCCGAAGACCTACTGTTCGTACTATTTATCTTGAGGATGCAGTACTTGAAGAGTTTGACGAAAATCGTCAGACTAGTACGAGAAAAACAGCAATGCACTTAAATGTGTCCCATAGTGTTGTTTGGAATATTGTCCATGATAATTTATTATATCCTTTTCACCACCGGCCAGTTCAAGCTCTACTTGAACCAGACATGCATAAGCGAGTTGTTTTTTGCGAATCGTATCTTAATATTCTAAGAAATAATTTGAATTTTGCCTCAAAGATACTTTTCACAGATGAAGCAACTTTTCAAAGACATGGTTTAACCAATATGCACAATCTTCATTCCTGGGCTCATGAAAATCCTCACGAAGTATCTATGACAACATTTCAACATAATTTTAGTTTAAACATTTGGGCAGGAATTGTAGAAAATGTGCTTGTCGGCCCTTTTGTTTTACCTCATCGACTTGGTGCTGTTGAATATTTGCAGTTCTTAAATGAGCATCTACCACCACTTCTGGAGGAAGTACCATTAAATGTACGTCAGGCCATGTGGTA